CGAGCCAAAAGCGCATGATATCCCAGACCTCGTTGCGAACGGCTGGGTTTGTCCAGTTAAGATCGGGTTGGCTGACATCGTAGACGTGAAGATAGTATTCGTCTGTTTGATGAGAAGGATCTTTCTCCCAGGATGAACCACCAAACATGGCACCCCAGTTATTGGGCTCTTTACCATTTTTGGGTGGTTGCCAGTAGTAGAAGTCTCTTTTGGGGCCGTTAGGACCGCCGGAGACGGATTCTTTGAACCATGAGTGTTCGGAACTGGTGTGATTTACCACGAGATCCATTACAAGTTTCAAACCCAGTTCGTGGGCTCTGGCGCAGAGACCTGTGTGTTGTTAGCATTTCTGAGAGTCTCGAGAAAGAAATGAGGGGGGGTGACTCACGTTCCCAATCTTCCATAGTACCAAACATAGGGTTGATAGCTCGATAATCCGAAATATCATAGCCCATATCATTCATAGGAGATGCATAGATAGGTGAAATCCATACCACATCTACACCGAGAGATCTGATATATGGTAATTTCGAGGTGATACCATTGAGATCACCATCTCCAGATCCGGTGGTGTCGAGATAGGAGGCGGGATAGATTTGATATACGACGGCTTCCTTCCACCATTGATGGGTCGAACCAATGGTTCTTCTAGCTATTGATCCCATATTGAGTTTGTGTGGGGGAAGTGGGGTGGGAAGATATACAAATAGGTATTGCAGCTGTTTGGGTATACACTATATGGTATCTTCAAATTGGTATGATTGACAAGAAGACAGGTAAATAGATTTCTGGAATCCTTCTATGAAATTTGATTGAGAAAGAGACAGCCTTATATGAATGAGATATATGTGAGAGCAACAGAGTTTATGTGTTGTTCAAAGATACACAAGTAACCTGACAAGTAACACCGCATAAACGGTGAAATGATCGCTCATATTTATACATTTCATGTGTAAAGATTTCATTGTACAGGATCCCCAGCATTTCATGCCCGAATCATGAATATCTTGTCGCAACTGAATCTCACCGCATAAAAAAGAGGGTAGAAACAAGGGGTCCAGGGTCCAATACCCCGCCAAAAGAAAGTACGAGGGGTCCGTTAAAAAGCACGTCAAGCACGTTTATTTGCATGTGGAGAAAGAGTCAGATGATCTTTCCACATGCCGCCGAATAAGAACAGAAATAGAATGAATTGGTAGGTGTTTTCGATTCGTTTTTGTTCGTTCTCATCTCTTTCCATCTATTTTGATTCATGCACAATCAAAGCCTTCTTGTTCGAAGCCTTGGAAGCATGTACCGTGCGGGAAATGGGCTTCATCGAGATTGTTTCGGAATTGAAAGGATGTTGTTGTGTTCCAAGAAGATAAGGAAGGGGTTTCCGCGTGATGGCAAGTTGAAAGAGTTTTTAATTCGGGTCGATCACGATGGATGGTAAGGTTTCGCACGGTGAGTAGTTGGGAGTCGGGAGTTTGATAAAGAGGCGTTTGAGTCAGGAGGAAGTGGGATGATGGTGGGATGGTGATCGTTTCGGGGATAAGCGGGGCTGACTAATGGCCGCTGCCAGACAGACTATGATTGGTTCAACAAAAGAAAAATAATCACGTGTCAAAAGTGAAAGCATAATTGCGTTCGCGGACGACTGGTCACTTGGACGAGTCTGAAGTATGGTTGATGCGAGAGTTATATCAGTTTCAGAAAGCATTTTATCCTATCCAGCATTCACGACGGGCTGTGCAAAACACGTTTTACTGATGCATAATTCATAAGCCTGCCGTGCAAATCATGGCATTACTATCATATCTCGTGCATTCTGAGTGCTAATCATACTCATCCCCTATCAAATCAATCGTCGGTATTGACGTTGGTACCGAAAGCGTGGAAGCTGCTGTAGAAGCCATTTTAGAGATTACCCCAGATGCTTCTTTCTTTATAGTGTCCGAAGTGATAAACCCCACATGCCTTAATCTTTCGAGCACATCCGAAAACTGCCATCCCGGATCGCTTCCCCTCAAAAATCTTTCTGTTTGTATCCATTTCTCAACCGTCTCTAATAGTTCCTCGCTCACTTGTCTTCTCTTTGCAGCGTAAGGCAAAGCCATTTTAACTAGTTTCTTCGGCCATGTCGTCCAAATGAAAAATGGACTTTCTTCCACCCACTCGGATGGCTCTTTCAAAACTTCTCGCTTTTGCGGTTTTTCGCTCTCGATGAATTCTTCGTAGTCTAATACCATGTTGTAAAGTATGTACGCAAGACCAACGGTAAGTAAGACATTAGCGAGGAAGAAGAACCATGTGAAAAAGGTTTTTGTTTTGGCGTTGTTTGTGTTTTTATTTTGACTGTAGGGTGAATTAACAATGACGTTGGAAAATGACAGAGGCATAGCTCGAATCTGAGCATTGGATCCAAGTCTATTATCCGTATTGTGAGCTGTTCGGAGGAGCTCATTGTCGGTTGCCTTTCCATCGTCATCCTCCTCTGAGTACTCTCTAGGATCATCGGCAGGTCTTGGTATCGGAATCGGTTCTTGCATAATCTGCACAATGACATCCGATAGCAGTTGGCCCGGGGGAATTTCGAATTTCTTCCTGGCGGGAATGGCGTATTCATCCCAATCGTCTTTCAGACGCTCCAGTGCACCCAGCCACTGCTCCTTCATTTGATTTCCATAGTGCATCGGCATGAGATCCCGAATGATTTGACTGCGTGCAGGTGAAACGAGCTTGTAATCCCAGTCTTCAATCTCCATAGCCTCGATAAGGTTGAGTTTAGGCTTACAATTATCATCTAGAATGATGATTCCTGGTTCCACCATAGTCTGTTCAATATCTTTCAGCACTCGTTCTCGAATTTCTTTTAGCTTTTCCCATGGTGTGGGCGGAGGAGCAGGAGCAGCTATCAAATCTCTTTCCGCTATTCCCTCAGCTGATGGGGGATCATTGAAATAAAAGCTGGATCGAAAGAAAGTGACATTAGTATCGGGAAGTATTTGATCCTTAATTGCGTCGAGGGCGCCCACTCCAATATTGGGGAAAGCCACAATAATCTTGGCTCGTTGTATAAATTCATCTCTTGCCATTTTTATTTGTTGTTTCATCCAACTCAATTAAAGTTTGGCGATCTATAACAGTCCTTCGATGAAGTCCGATATATTGAAGTTGGTGAGATGCCAAAAACTACGTCCATACATTTTGATTGAGATAAGGAGATATCTTACGGTTTTGGACTAAGGAGTCTTTGTTGACATTGACCAAATAACAAAGCGGATAGCGTCTATTAAGGAGTAGGATTGGTGATTAGCCATTGGTCTTTGTTGTTTGAGACTCGGAATATGTGAGTGAAGGAAAATAATTTAGCGAGTCCGCAAGCGGGACTAGTACTATTGTAGAGTGGGCAAACAAGTCTAAAGCTGAGAGTAACTGGTTCCGCGACCTCGGGAAGATTTGTTTTGCTATTGCACAGAATTTCCATTTGGTCGGAATTGACGATTTCATTTGACCATGTACGCAGTGTGAAATTCCATGGATAGCATGGAATGCTTTCGTATTTTGTCTATGATCAATGAGTGATATATGAGTCGGAATCCAAAGTGATAATGAGTCAGAGTTGATAAATCATTGCTTGATGCTACAAATATCAAACTGTGTTAATCAATCTCCAACACCAGCTGTATGCTGGTTTACTTCCACTTCGATACTCAATGGTCTGTGCTATCACCAAACGAGAATAGATCTCTCATCGCGATCATAGTTCGTACCTTCGTCACTCTATGTTGATGCCTTATTCATGGGCAACTCAACGTCCTCAGTTGTATGAAGCTCAATAGTCTCGACAGATATCTGCTTCCCGTGTAGCCCCGGATTTTCACTAATCAAGTACGTAACCTCTTCTGCAGCTTGATCAACAAGACCCTTTTCCATCCCATCCTCATCATCTATAGCCGTCTCTTTTGCTGCCAGGTCCTCAGATTCGACCGCCAATTTGTTGACCCAAGTCTGAACAATATTTGCATCCCATGGAATCCCAACGACTTCGCTTATAATTACAACTGCAATCAAGCACATTTGAATATATTCATGCCAGCAATTCCTCAAGCTGCAAACTTTGTCAAAGAATCCCAACGCCTGCATAGTATCCACAATTACTCGTCCAAGATGTGATGTACAAATCAGAATAGATGAAGTGATCCATTCTCTTTGCTTTGGAAATGTCTTGTGTCGACATAGCTTGATAGAGACACCAAGCGTTAGAGGAGCCCAGAATGGGTAGATTGGTGATAGGATCACAGTCATCCAAGAGAAAAGTGAATCCAACCCATGAGAAACGTATGGAATATGAATGATATCCGTCGCAATGAAAACAACGAGTAAAACGAAAGCGAAAAGGTATGCAATCGCGAAAGCGGAAACTACCACGGCGCGTTTGTGTATGGATGATTCAGACATATTCAGTTTGTGGAGGATAGCCAAAAATAATGTTGTGTTGAGGTGAATTGAGAGAAAGAGAAGATAATTCTGGGTGCCGTCGTAATTGAGTATCTATCACCGGGAGTAACGGCACGATTACGTCAAATGCGACCTTGGCGACTCTTAGTTTATCATGGCGTGTGATTCAGTGGACCTAGTGTTATGCTGTGAGATTTAAGGCCATTAAGCTTCAATTAAAATGGATCTCTAGTATCAAAATTCGAGCAATTGAGCGGGTAGATCCCTTAGTACTGATCATGACTTGGTGGTGATATGATAACTCCATATATTTCTGTGGGCTTGACGCTGGCTCCCTTTTTGCTCCCTCCAAACAAAACTTCACAGCTCCTGCACACAACAAAGCTTCTTGATTTAGCTTGTATATTACTCCGATTCCATTGATGCACACCACCATCGTCATCGTCCACGGTAACCTCAAACTTTCAAGGCATCTTGATCTCCTAATCATGGCGCAATTGTGTGGTCAAACCATTAAGTCTCTCGAGGCTGCTTGTACTTAAGCGTCTCCATCTCAATTAGCGAGCTTTCGACTGATGTCCTTGGCACTCCACAGTAATTCCTCCCTTATCAGAGTCCTTTTCTCCTTGTTCCTTCATCTTTCTTTGCTCATTTCCGTCGTCAGAAGTAGCCCACCAATCATCCAGCATCTCATCAATCGACCCTTCATCGATATCCCATTCCGAGCCCCAGATCAGAAGAGCCAAAATAATTAGTCCAGTCTCCGTCAAAACCCTCCATTGCCCCAAAAATTCTCCATTCATGCTCCATAATGTCAGCAATACCCGCGGTACTGATCGGCTTAGAAGTTGTATCATATTTGCTGCATTTACAAATTTGCTAGCTGTGCTCGTTTTCCATTTTGGGTGACATAGGAAGCGTAGGTTGATGTAGAAGTTGATGGGTACAAGAAAGGGTATGAATGGCCCGATGAGAGTGTAAAGAGTTTCATAGATTTGACCGAGTTGAGTAGCCATCTAGTCTGGTGGCTTGAACTTTGGACTTAACTTTCATTGTGACAGCAACTGCATCTATATCTGAGAATGTTCAGAAAGCTACTAGGTATGTGTACCGGTTTTCTGATATTTGTCGTGACGATGCTCATAAATGCGGGGTGGCTCGAGTGCTGCGCCACAGAGGATTCCTTACCTTGAGAAGCATAATACGTGAAAAGATTGTCAGATGACTTGATACTCAAGATAATTAGGATAATCTCTCTCGTACACCCGTAATGGATCAGAATATCAGCCAAAAGCCTGCAAGCTGGGGACATAGATATAGATTCTACTTATTAGCTAGCGACATCAGAGCTAAAATGGCAATGTTGAATGCAGATTGATTCCACAAACCAAAGTATAGTGGAACAGTAAACAATCCAATCATGAAGTTACAGCTCGTTTAGGGAAAACATTGAGATCATAAGAACCATTACCCTTCTGCAATCCCCGCTTCCAAGCAGGCCTATCGTATACTCTCTTCAACCACTCATCCAATCTAGGAAATTCCTTTTCCAGATCAACCCAGTTCCTATGCTTTACGAAGCTCATTGGAAACTCCATCATAACATCGGCTCTGCCAGGATTCTTCCCCATGAAATACCCACCTCCCGGTGCATTTTTCAATTCTTCGTCCAAAATAGTTAGAATCTCCCTCAACTCGGGACCATCAAACCAATTTACAACTCCATTCCTAATGAAATCTATATCAATAAAAAGAATAAAGTAAATCGATCGCACGAATGTCGTAAGATTGAAACAATTAAGGATCTCGTCTCTGATCCAATCACCGCTATTTAAGCCAAACTTATCCTCGGTGTCAAACTTGCGAAGAAGATATGTGCATATAGCATCGCTCTCTGGAATATATCGATTGCCATCCGCGGCACCAGTTGTCAGAACTGGGGCCTTTCCATATGGGCCGAGGGCTTTGAGGGATTCGGGAGAGCGGAAAGGGGCAATAAGATCATCGGCAGGTTTGCGGAAGTGGTGGATGATATTGTATTCAATACCTAGCTCTTCAAGAAGCCAGAGGATACGTTGAGATTGGGAGTTCTAGTTTCGTTAATTAGTTATCAGTAGATTTGGAGGGGCAAACTTGCATCTAAGTGATGGAGAGTTGGCTTATTGTCCGCCATCTTGTTTGACGAAGGGGTAGGTGAATTAAGCTAAGGTTAATCGAAGATGCTGTCCACTAAGTATTGAAGAGATGAGGAATTTGACGGATATATAAGAAATTTATAGATTGCTTTCTGCAGCTGATGCGCCATCGAAGTATAACAAATGGAATGATTAACGCAATAGGAAAGCCATGAGATGCTTTGCGCAAGCACATCTCGCTCGCGCCTCTTCAATATCAGTAACCTACATTTCTTTTAGCTATGTATCCATACGGAACGCGTCCTGAAGGTGTGTGAGAACTCAAGGAACTCGAATTCCAGAGTCACACATAATCTTCATGTAACGTGAGTATTTATCGCATTCTTGTTCCTTGATGTCATTGTTGATCTATGGGGGACGATTGTCGTGTACGGATGAAGGGGGAAGTCATGGATTTTGGACATGGGCGGCGGTGGCCCGGGCTGAAGGATGTGGAACTTCACGGGCCTTTTCACCATCACATCCGGATTCTTATTTCGAAATTTGTACTCAAATACACACAACATTCGTGGTCTGTGAAACAACGACACTCCTTATCTATAGACACAAGTTCGAAGAAGAGTATTATTGATTAAACTTCTAGAAGACATAGGACATCAGTACTACACTTTAGATCTCAGCTACACTGACACCTTCCATAAAACTTGGGTAGCTTGCTTCAACATCCAACTCCAAACACTTGCTTCTTCTCCGATGTCTGACAAAATCGGAATTCTTACTACTTAAGGAAGAGTTATTACTCTTCGCCAGTGTGCTAGCTGGGTCATATTTTGGGCCCATACCTGTCAGGCCCGATCAAGCTCTGATGAGGTATCGCCATCAAGTTTCTTCTTCCACGAGGCCAAATATCAGGTATCGTAGTTAGCTTATACTTATTAGTCTTATCAAATTTAATGTCGGGTATCTCGAAGATCAATCGTGGCGTTTTGAATCGGCGACGATATTCTTAACGGGTGCTCAGATCTTCACGACTTGTATCTTGGATGAAAACGGTTTTAGCATTGATAATATACTTTCACCGCCACTGGACCAGATATTTTTTTGACCAGAACAGCTATATTCGTTGGTAATATCATCATTTCGCTACCTATCTAGTTCTGGCTGTCTGGCTAAGTGACATATTGACAAGTATCCGTTCTTGACTGACTTTTCAACATTCCGACAAGCACGATTTTAACTTTTTCCGAGCGAGATTTAACACATACATAGTTCGCATAGAGACCCGGATAGATCATTTCCGACTTTGCCTATAGCACAACAGATCAAGTCGCTTGTGCAATATCGCCTTTTTCTGCAGTCTCCTACAACCTTCGAACCTATTAGCCCGCGGGATGTTCAATTTCACTCGGCACTTAATGAATCTTTTCAGGACGTCTTATACCTACTTCCCGGTCTTTCAACTTCTTTTGGTCACAGATTTCTCCATCAAGGTGGTCATGAAACTTGCATGGTGGGAAGTCCCATATGCCCGTAAAGGTTACCACTTCTCCATGTGGTCCTCTCCTGAGAGCAACAGAGTCATCCTCCAAGCCATCGATGCGTTTTGCCATGTCATAGTACCGTGGCCAAAACTCTGGAGGACACCGATCTAGGTCATAATTGAAGCTATAGCAGGCTAGCCTTCTTAAGCCACAATTCTTTGGGGTATGCTTATAGATACCAGCGATGTCCTCCTTCGTCAGGATGGCTCGGTTTAACTCCAGGGCTCTCACGACATAATCTGTTATGAGATTCATCAAATTTTCCACGCACAATCTCTTCGCCAGCAAATAGAGCCCACCCCAATTGAACTCCGTTTGAATCCGAACGACTGGACAATCATCCTGCATGCGTTCATCCATTTCTTTGCCATCAGGATAAATCGACCATGGAGGCAAGTGCCCATTAGATACCCACCACATCAAATCGTGGAAAGCCTCAAAGTCGCCACTGTGGAATGTAACGGAATTCGATGCTGCCTCTTGGGATGTTCCATTAAAGAATTTTTTGAAGTATGGAATTTTCTCGCAGAGAACCTTCTTATAAACTCGGATCACTGCTCTTTCTGGGCCGATATAGATTTTGACGATTTCTTTCTCTGGGCTCCCATCTTCCTGATCTTCAGTTGGGCAGTGAAGAGGTGTGAAATTGTTCCGCTGCTCGTCTTCCTTATGTTCAACAGGACAGTGGAGAACTAAGCCAGCTTTTTCTGATGGCGTCTCGAAGTCGCAGATATATGCACCCATCTTTTTACTCTCTTTCGAGCGCTTCTGGTATTTCCAAGGTTCAGCACGTTCATCCCATACAACACCGATTAAACCTTCATCCTGGAGATCATCTCTCCATTGCTCAAGTCGAGACCGCCAGTGTTCTGACCCGATGGTTACTGATTGGTTTTTATAAATGAATGTTACAAACTTTGTCAATATCGGCTCCTTTCGCGTCCGTGTTGTAGTGCTGCTTGCTGATTCTCTGTATGGCTTTTTGACCTCCTTTTCGGCGATCACGCATGGCATTCGATGGCTGACTCCTGTAATTCTCTTTGCCGGTGTCGGTACTTCTTCGATGTCTTCATCTGTCTCTTCGTATTCTTCATAATCCTTGAAGTAACTCCCTTTCTCGCACATGTGATCTCCTTGGGGTGTTTGCGTTTCATCCTTGACATCACCGCGCTCTTCGAATTCACCTCGATGCGCTCCGACTGCGGATTCTCTCTCCTCACCCTTCGCGATAGCAGTACCTGAACTTTGATTGTTTGGCGCAAGTCCTCTCTGATCTTTCTTCGATGGTGTCATTGTCAATATCTAATTGCGTCAGAATTCGTAGAAGCCAAAGCATGGTCTTGTCTCCAGGGAGGCGCATTCTCTCAAGTCTAGAGAAACTTTGAAGTTTCTGAGTATTTCGTTGTTTTGTGAAGATTAAAAAGTAATTGCCACATACCTGTTCAATGTGTCCTGACTGTCTTGACCGTGAAGAATACTGGAAAGATCTTGAGAAGTAGTTCTTTGCTGCGAAGGCTAGTCGCTGCAGGTTGTTTTCGGTAGAAAAGTTCAATTTAATATTGAAGATGGGTGTCAGTTATCTTCGTAAAAAGATTGATTCAAACTTTATATTGAGAGTCGAATACTAAAGTCGCAGTTTGTTTTTAATTCGAGTATCAAATTGGTATTTGAAGTAGCATCCAACTCTTCAAAAAGGTTGGTAATGCGATGGAAACAAATCTCCTTGATCTTCGATGGTGAATTGTGTTATAGGTTGAGTCGTGGGTCGGGCCTCGGACAGTAAAGGGACAGGCCACATTCGGCTAGTGTGATATATTGTTAGATTGATAATGAACATAGTGAGTCTTTTATCATGATTGATAAAGGTTCTTGAATCTATATTACAGCGTATACTTACAGCTAGGGTCATTCAGCGTTGAGCGAATACGGTATATAGTGATTATATTGTAATGCTTAAGGTTCAGGTTCTACAGTAGGTAGGACTTTTGCTTTATATTGACGGTCAAGAGATTGCTGAATTGGCGAGTGGGATACGACAAATGCACATATTTAGCATATATTTTGTCTTTCCACTCTTCATTCTAGTTACAAAGATAGAAATCTAGCAACAGAGACAAACAGAGGTGATTCACCAGTAGACTACAACGTCTTGCATTGATCAAGCGTCAACATGCTTGTCTGTTATTGGTGTCATCCTGCTTTGGCAATTGATAGGTAACTTGCCACAAGGCAATACAGAAGTCACTGTTCTTTATTATTTGCTTGATAGAAAGAAATTGCACAAATACTCATGAGATATTGATTGTATGTTGAGTTTTTTTGAACTGGGAAGAATGCTTACATTGACTAAAATCTAATTGTGGCCAATCGTTGATTGAGTGGTCTTGCAGACAAAGGTATGGCTAATAACAACCTTTCGACCTGCCTTAACTACAACAAACATACTTTAAAGCTTCCCGGGTTCATTTTTTAAATATTTTTTTCACTCCACATTCGCCTCTTCCTACACCACACCTAAGTCTTAACACAAAGCGCCTGTCCCACACTCAAATTGGCACAACCAGCATCAATCTCGGTGTTCAATTTTCTCAAAGTATCCAACGTGATTCCATTCTTCGCATCAACAATATCACATGTATCTCCCATTGAGACAATGAAAAATGTAGTGCAATTTGCAGCGGTTCCAGGGAATACGGTACCCGTCGTGTTAGTAGTTGGATCGGTTACAGTGGCGGTAATGGTGGTGGCATTGGCAGAACTGGTGTTGTTTGCTTGGGGGGTATCCGTGATAGAGAAGGAGGTTAGATCGCGGGCCTCGGGAGCGGACGTGGTGGTGTTTGTTGCGCTACCAGGGGCTGGCGGGGCTGGACCACCAGCTGGGGGAGCGGGGGGAGCTGGCTTTGTGGCGTTGGCTGCATCAGCGGGTGGGGCTGGACCACCAGCAGGAGGAGCAGGCGGGGCTGGCATTGTGCCGTTGCCTTTTGCAGCGGGTGCTGGAGGTGCTGGACCGCCGGCAGGAGGAGCAGGCGGGGCTGGCATTGTGCCATTGCCTTTTGCAGCTGGTGCTGGAGGAGCTGGACTACCGGCTGGAGGAGCAGGGGGTGCAGGCATCGTAACATTGGCTGCATCAGCGGGTGCGGGGGGAGCAGGAGCACCGGCTGGGGGCGCCGGAGGAGCGGGCATTGTAGTATTTGCAGCGTTAGGATCGGCGATTGCTATTATACTATTTACAATATTAACTCCATCGTCGATAATTATGAATACAAGGTATAGGTAGGTAATGAATGCTTACTCTCTCGTCTCCAACTGAATAGGGGAGGCGTGGATAGCCGTTGCCAAGACGGCGAGTGTAAGAGCGGTAAATGAATATTGCATTTTGAAGTTGTGGATTGGATATCGTTGGGTATATGAGACGAACTAATCTTGTTTGATAATATGAAGAGAAGAAATACCAGTAAATCTAAGGAATGAACATGAAATATCAAATTTCAATTTTATTTTATTAAGGAGAGTAATTCAGCAGGACTAGCCGCGAAAAGGGAGGGAGTAATTAGTAAGGAGTGTATTAGAAAGTTTGGTTCGAGTTTATATAAATATCAGATGTGGTTTGCGAGAAGGTTATATACATATGCAGGAGAGACGCTGTTCAAGTGTAGATTCTCAAACAGTGCGAGAGCTATAGAGATGTTTGAAGGTTTGAAGGTTTGATATAGGCTTCACGATCAGTGCTCAGCCACGCTAAATCATGCCGTGATTGTATGAGATGGAATTTTTACCGGAGAATTAATAGAGTGGTATATTTCAGACGGTTCTGAAATCGGCTAAGGAATTTGTGTACAAGTCATGGTAGGGCGAATGAGGTAAATTGAGGTGAGGTGAGGTAGAGATGGTTTGGAGCAGTAGTCGCACTGCCTTCATTCTGAAATTGAGAGCTGTTGTTTAGAAAGCTTGTTTTGGAAAGAGGGGTTAGCAGGTTCTTTGATGGATGCTCAGACTGGAGGGGAAGCTAAAGCTATGAATTGATTATACAGAGAGAGATATAGATGATGCGAAGGGACAACTATACATAATACATAAGAGGAACCCTAATTTGGATATAGAAGACGCACCTCTTGCATGATCATCAAAATGATTACAGATTAACACAAAATATCACCATCCCCAAGGATCCCGTTTGTGAAGTTTCTCATTCAGGTCCTCTTTCTCTTCCTCCTCTGTTTCAACCCATCTTTCCAATTCGGAACATCGGCAAAAAAACAAATATAATTCCATCAGAACATCAGGTCTACAAGGTCCGAAGATCTGATGGCACATGATGGCATGTATCAAATCATGCTTAAATTTAGCTCTGCTTCAAATCTCTCGCCAAGGTTCACCCAGTGTGTGGTTTCATCTTCTTGATAGAGATTATGCTATGTGAAACATGTGATAAGACTCATTCTTGCTGTAATTGTTTGAGATAGGAAAAGTTTGATAGTTTGGTATGATTCATTGATGAATTGAGTAGCTTAGAGGAGATTGGAGGGGAACATTGTATGCTGATTGCTGTGTCTCAACTTCGTAGTCAGAATGAGGTGATGTGGTTGTGGTTGTTGGATCGTGATAGGTTGATAGGGTCATGTGACGAGATCTAGATTTTCGAGGTCTTAGAGGTTCCATCCATGTACGGCGTGGCAACAAAAAAAGAAATAAAACGATGTGTGGGGGATCTTCGAATGAATGCATCTAGAATGCATGAGAATCCGTTCCGGTTTTCCCGTTCAGACTTTATACCAACGCCATAGAAACCAATAATTGTTACCCTTCTCATACCTCGGCCAGCCGAGTCTTGGCCGTTCAACAATCGGCTGGAAGGTTTGATAGAAAGCTTAAAAATACGTATGGTCGGGTTCGTCTGGCTGCATCCGACAGTTGTTCAGATAATTTCTTGGAATGTCATTCTTTTGATGATTTGCTACGTGATAGGATACTATCTACATATGAATATGAGACAATTGATGCTCAGCGCCCTCGAACCATCAGCACCCTCAAGCCACCGGTTCGAAGTATAGGTTGAAACCCAGCATTCAGCGACAAGTAACCGTTTCTTCTCATCAAGGGAAGTTTCCGAGCTTTACGAGGGTTCATCACTAGTCGGAAGATGGCATGGGTAGACATGGATCAAAGAGGTACGCCCCAAACAATTTATATCGTTGTCAACTTACCAAAATATGTAGTGTAACTACCAGGTATAATCTCCCATTGCATCTTCCTTGAGACGTCATGTCAGTTCTGGTGTACTTGTATCATTGGACGGCGAGTAATGTGTCCTGACGGGTAATCATTCAATGTGAATCAATAGGAAGCTCGAAATGTTGTGTTTCCAACAGAACCAAACTCGCGGGTCTAAACAGCCTTATTGACTCCTATCAAGGTTCAAGATGCTAGCACGGTAATTGCCCCTTGTAGAACAGGGCCTATAGAAAATGAGTTCTTCGGTAAGATAATATCTCCACCCTGAAAGAACCTTAAGGGGGCAGATCGATGGATACGAGATGAAACTTCGGGGAAATATTGAAAGAGGGGGTCCGTAAAAGGGAGCTTCACCGCCACCAGCTTGATAATATAGAACAGAGCTTTTCGAGTGTGGATACACATCGCATACGCGTTCGAAATTCGAATAATCTTAACACATTTTCCATCGTATATCAAAATGTAAAGGCAATACGTCGTCTAAAATTACAGATGCTAGTAAATCGTCAACGGCACACGGAAGTTAGTCTCCAGTCCCGGGCCGGGGCCGAAATATAACCCGAAACAGTGGCAGGTCGGTCGGTACTACCTAGGTAATCATGTATAAATATTTGGGCCTATAAAGTCTCTACCTAGCTATTCCAATGTTATTCATCATGAGCACACAGCAAAACCCTGAAAGTATCGTCAATCAACAATCTACAGCCCAACTTAGAGCCCAGTAGTACTGGGTTAGGACCGGATCAGGACTGCGGAATATCCCCATAGTACTAACGATACTACCAACCAAATAACTTGGTTTCAAAGCGGCACAAAACTATCATACCAGACCAAAATCTGCTACTGTCGGAGACCCCGCATTCGAATCAATAAGTTCTCGTCTTCAACTCACACAATGGAAATGTTATCGATTCAGCGTGAGACAACCATACCTGAAAAAGAAAGGGCATTGCGATTGCGATTGTCGCACCCCACTTCTCACTGAATCCCTGTATGTATGTGTATATTTTTTCAGTCACTTAGCCTTCGTACACGTTGTTCCAATTTGCGCGACATCATCTACATCATCTGGATTCTGATCCCATCTCATTTGTTTGTTCGTTCGAAAAGTTCCCACTATTGGGCTGAAACTAGCGACAATTGATAAACATTTCCACGAACGATTTTGTTGGCATAAAGTTCATGCCCTAATGCAGGCCTAGGACGCATGAATTGGAAATAGAAGCAGGTCCTAGGTTTCCTGACCAGGCTTATTGAAAGGCTTGTTGGTGGTGGCAGCATATTTTTTCGTTTAATTGCTCTGTCTGGAGGGCATATCTGACAGGGGAATAGGTAAGGTTATCCGGGGTCGAATTTGGGGTGGGAAGACCCAACGTGTTTGTGGCCTTACCGCTTCTGTTGTGCGTCATATTTAGTCTTTGCGGCAAGAGATATTGTATGCTGTATTTGGCCGGAGTTAAAAGTAAGTTCGTTCCTTGCATTCTTTGTATCCGTTAGCCCATGCGCGTGCGTATATATTCCGTTGCGAACCCACATGAGTATGTGACTTTGCATAAGCTATTCCGATATTTGCATTCAACATTATACCTGAAATCTATCGAATATGGATCAGAAAAATGATCTTGGGGTCATTGAGGCTTCCGTGACTGACACATCACAGAGCCTGAAACAGAGCAGCAACATGGCTACCATCGAGAACGATGATGAGAGATTGTTGAACAGAATTGGTTATACTCAAGTTAGCCTCCTTCACTGCCCCCGTGATCAACGTTACGCCCACTAACCATAGCTAAGGACTTACATCGACATTTCTCAAAATGGTCTACATTATCCTATGCGGTCTCGGTTCTTGGTGTCCTAGGATCTGTTCCTGCTACTTTTGGAAGCCCACTGAGTCTGGGTGGACCAGCAGCATCAGTATGGGCATGGTTTTTTGGTTCTGTAATGGCACAAATCATATCAAGTTCAGGTTAGAAATCTTCACTCTTGAGTTGTAACTTGTACTGATATACTCAAAGTATCTGAATTGGTCTCTGCATATCCGACGGCAGGTGGCATGTACTTCGTTACGAAGAATGTTGTCCCACCTGAACATGCGGCGATATGGAGCTGGATTATTGGATGGTGTAATTTACTTGGTCAAACTGCAGGTGTTGCCAGTGTGGGATATACCGTTTCTCAGCTTGTTCTAGCAGCTGCGAGTATGAACTCCAATTTTGATGAGGTCACCGGGACATATGCCTATTCACCGTAAGTTGTTTAACAATGTCTGAAATTTCGTATGCTCATGGGCCGATAGAACTGCACTACAAACCGCTCTACTATCATGGTTAATCCTTATAATCATGGGAGTAATCTGTTCCCTAACAACGAGACGTCTTCACCAAATCGTAACTTGGTTCATGCCAATCAACGTCCTAGCTTCAATCGCTATATGTATCACACTACTCATTCTAACTCCCAACAAACAATCTGCAACATGGGTCTTTACACATTTCACCAATGGATCTGGATGGGGAGCTCCGTTCTCATTCTTCCTCTCCTTTCTCTCAGTAGCATGGACCATGACTGATTACGACGGCACAACCCACATGTCAGAAGAAACCCATGATGCAGCAGTTCGCGGGCCAATGGCTATTCGATGGGCCGTTACCATTTCTGGAGTCGTAGGCTGGATGCTCACCGTTACTTTTTGTTTTTGTACAACAGATCTCGAGGCTATCATTCATTCACCCACAGGAATGCCAGCAGCGCAAATCTTCTTAAATGCGGCGGGCAAGAACGGTGGAACTGCAATGTGGTTTTTTGTCATTCTTGTTCAATTTTTTACGGGATGTTCGGCTATGCTTGCTGATACTAGAATGGCATATGCTTTTGCGAGGGATGGAGCTCTTCCTTTCTCAAAGTAAGTTACCAAGTCTCTGAATTTCCAAATTTGCCAGTTTGCTCATTTCGTCGTTCCCCTTTATACCGAAAAATACTAATAACCAACCTCATAGGTTCTGGTCCAAAGTAAACCCCTACACCCACACCCCTCTCCACTCTGTCTGGCTCATCGTCCTTCTAACCTGCGCACTCAACACCATCGCCATCGGCAGCACCGCTACCATCGTCGCAATTTTCAACATCACAGCTCCTGCTCTAGACATGTCATATGCGGCAGTCATTCTGGCACGCAATATATACGCCTCGCGCGTGAAATTTATTCCCGGCCCATACACGCTTGGGATATGGCAAAAGCCGATCAATGCGATAGCATGTACCTGGGTGTTATTCATAAGTATAGTTCTTATGTTCCCAACGGTGAGACCGGTTACGATGGAGAATATGAATTATGCGGTGGCAGTAGGCGCGGCTATTGCGGTGTTTAGTTTGGGGTGGTGGTGGGCTGGAGCGAGAAGGTATGTTGTTCTTTCTTCTTCTTTTATCTGCACAAGATTTTGAGATGATATTAATATATAATCTAGGACATACACGGGACCGAAAACAAAAGATCTCATACAATCCATCGCGTCGGAAGAAGGAAATTATGAATCGGATGAGAGACCTAACTATGGGAGTATTAATGATCGTTGAAATGGTAGTGAGAATTAGATTATGATAATGGCGTTTTGCTTTTAGGTCAAGGAGTTGCTGGTTTATAAAGCGTCTCTTTACTTGTAGGAGTTGTGGTATCATTTCTCGCCGTATTCGAGATTTCCATCTCTTCGCATTAAGGAAGGAGATAGATAGATTTAGATAGATAAATATATAGATATGTATTTGCATTTTTTAATATTCATGGACGCAAAATAATATTTGTGTGGTGATTAGACCAAGGGCGTAAAAATAAATAGCTCTTTCAATACACAACACAAGTGAGAGATTGATGAAGCAGAAAGAAAAGCTCACCGGCAAGTTACAACCCCGTCCCATTTTCCGAGCGGTCAAATTCCGGTCGTTCGCTCACCCCTCCCAACTCTCGGACCCCCACGCAGACTCCAACAATGAACAACCAATCATACTCTTCCTCCAATCCCTGCAAACTTCATTCCCACATAGTCTCTAAGACTACCCCCACGCATTATTTATCATTACAATATATATCAAAAAATATCTTCTCCACTATAATCAAATTATCACACAGCTCTTGTAACTCAGTGGTAGAGTGGGCGATTGCAGTAACACTCTGATAGAAGTCGTTATAATCACGTTATCGCCAAGTCGCTTGTTCGAACCAGGCCGGGAGCTTCTTTTTTTCTTTTTGGATCTTTGTTGCCGGCGTGGAGGAGTGTGCTTCTTTGAGGGGGCGTGGTAGATGGATGGAGGAGAATGGATATGGAGGGCAGAATTCTGTTTTTGGGCGTGTGGGGAGGGAACATTAATTTTGTCTTTCTTTTCGATTTACTCACTTAATTCTTTTGTCTTCTTATTACAACAGTCAATGTAATACTTTGATCAGGCAACGTTGGTTGATTTCTACACGCGATTTGGAATGGCGATTGTATACCGAAGTTTGGATTGTTATCTAGGTATTTTACTCGGAGATCTTTATGAGAGTCATAAATAGCATTTACACCAGCTATATTCGCGATCTGAACTCCTCCAAAAAACACTTCTCATTTTTTTGGAATATTGTAAAGCAGTATACTTGGTCGACTCTCCTCATCACAGCTCTCTACAAGTGCTATGCCACGAATTTGTCTTGTCGTCTTCACTAACATTCCCTTCAACCTGTTCCACAGCGTCGAACTTCCCATCCTTATTGCTTTTGCAATAACGAACATGTTTACATCTTTCTCTCTCTCTCGTTCATGAGTTTACTCCAGATTTTACACCTTCTCGGCATCGTGAAGAGAATGTAAGGTTATCTCCTCCGGTCACTTTATCACTCCTATATTCCCAATCAAAAATCCAATTTCCTCAACCTTCCCCGCTTCATCCTTCCTCTTTCCCCTCCCTTGTGTATTCTCTGCCTCCTCTCCTACACCAAAGATCGATACTTAAGTATCTCAATTCGCGATGATCATATTCATACCTCAACGGCCAATCATCTCCTTCGTCTTTTTCTAATCGCCTATCTCGCTTATATTAACAAGTTATTTACTTTTATCATCTACATAAATTTTGTATCCAGATGCTCGAGTGCTCTGTCCATTGCGAATAATTCTCGCTGGTAGGATGTGTTACGGAGATGGTATTTGGAAGGGTTATGTGGGAATCCGAGTTGATGAATGCTTATTGGAAGGCAGGGTAAGAGGTTCATTTAATATCTGGATAGTGTTAATCGTAATGACTCCCCTTACATTTACCTCGGGAGAAAGTTTAAAGATAGTTGAAAGACAGAAGCTTAGTATAAAGCTCTCTTCACTTATCAAATTATGCCAATAGGTAATCAATCTATTTTCTCAAAGCTAAACACAATCTACTAGTGTGAGAAATCACATATCAGTATTAAAATCAGGGAAATGAAATGGATTGTAACGTAGATTTTGCATTCCGGATTGGATCAATATATTTTGGTTTTCTGCGCAAAGTCCATTGAACTTCCGAGCCGAGCATCGAAAACGGGAAACCCCCCTTCCATTTGCTGGCTCCCCATTTTGCCATATCTAGTCCGCTAATATACGTTATCATCTCAGAGGTTGAGTGGGTTTGATTCTATCTGTTCAAGATCCGGAATCCCGAGTAGAACGACTAAAAAGACAGCAATTCCATGCTTCCCTTTTCTCCCCCAATATCTTTCAGAAATTGAATCCGAGCATCTCCAGGACTTAACGCACATGAGCATTCTGACGACAAAAACCCATAGCACAACTATTATCCGACCACCCCAAACGAAGATCATCCATCCACCAAAGTTTCGGTTTGCCAGCCACCGTAACATTCATGAAAAAATACGTCAAATCCATAAAACTAGGTTCCAGATCCACGGTGGTCAAAACGCAACTCGAAAGTTCAGGACAAGCTGGAACATTGACAACTTGTTGCATTACTTGAGAAGTCTTTTTAGAAACCACGTCGTACTTATATCCCGTAAATGTGAAGTCGCATGTAGGACCCGTGGAATCACAACCGAGCGATGCTCCGTAGAGATTGAAATTAAAACATCCGGTGAGTCCTTCATCGCCACTTCCTATTTGGCCCGAGAAGCCATGGTCTGCGGAATTAGGACCTGTTTGTCTATTTGAGGAATTGGCTACGAAGTTGGGTATGAATTCGAGGAGGAGTGGCTTTGAGGATGGGAGGATGGGGAGACGTTTTGGTGGTGGGACGACGGTGAAACCATCAGAGAAGAGGAATTGGTGGTATGGATTGAATAGCGGCTCAGGCTGGACGTCAGTACCGCTTGCGTTGGAAACGGATAGTGGTGGGACGTCATCGAACTGTATGAATGCTTGATTAGTTGCTGGATATAACACTTAGCGAAGATAGACTTACAGTCAGTACGAAGTCACCACGTTCTCCGCAGTTTGTAGGTGTGGCTGAGGATATGATAATAGGAGATGTAGAGGATGTTGAATTGGGGAAAGTGACGGAACTTGGTCCTTTGATCACCGAAATGAAACTGGATATTGACGCGTCTGTAGAAGATGGGATCGATTGAGATGTTGAAGTGGCGTTGGATATCAGAGTCAAGATTGAGCTTGAAGTAGACTTCGATAAGGAGGAGGCGTAAGATGTTGCATTAAAGCTGGGAATTGAGGTAGAAACAGACGTTGAAGTCGAGCTAGAACTTGACGTATATGTAGAAGATGGAGTATCCTTAGACAAAGAAATCAAGCTGGAGGTTGACGTCGGCATTGAAAACGAAGAGTCCGAAATAGTCACAGTGGCAAAAGCAGGAATGGAAATTTGAGTAGCGGCTTGGGATCTTCCTGGTGCAGTCAAAGTAGTCAAAGACCCAGTTTTAGCGGACGTATGTGTATTGAATGACGATTCCGATGCTGTTTGCGACGTTGAGTTCCATCCGCTAGGCTTAGAGGCAACACCGGTAAATATTCTACCCGAAGCTGATTGAGAAACCGCAGATATTGGAGTAAAGACGGTATGAGTGGCGAATGGCGAAGCTGACTTGAAACTAGAGTTAGCAGTCAGTAGTGTTGAGAACTCAACACCACTTGCTAAAATGATTGATGAAGTTGAGGTGACCGGCTTGATACTGCTCTCAGAGACTTCAGGTCTGGATATGGTTAGGCTTGAGACAGAAGATAAACTCGAAAGCGGGTTTGCAGTAGTAGAAAGATTGCTGGCCATAGACGAGAGATTGAAAGAAATTGTAGAGGTAGAAACAACTGCATTTTGAAGAGCTACCGATGCAAATGTGGAAGTACCGGAAACAATCGTTGCATTGTAAAATGCGTAATTTGTACTGGACTGTGAAGAAACAATTGCGCCAGTTGATGTAGATGTGGGTTTGCTACTAGCAGTTGCTGTCGAAAGTAGAGTTGAGAAGGGAACAACAGTTGTTTTTGTGGTGGTTAACGTAATTACCATATTGCTGCTGGAAGCTAGCTGGCTTGTAGTTGATGAAGATGATGAGGAAGTGGATGATACGGGAGTAGTTGTTACTGTTGACATAACCACAGGCTTACTGGTAGATAACGTTTTGGTTTTGGTTATCATGGATGACGATTGAGGCGATGGCAGAGTTGACAAGGGAATCACTGTTGCTGTTGATATAATCACCGACTCACTAATGGAGGATTTCGTCGAAGAATATGGAGACGAGGGAATTGGAGATGGGGTAGTTGGAAGGGGTATAACGGTTGCTGTGGATATAACCACAATCTCACTGCTAGACGCGGATGTCGATGCAGGTGGAGGTGGAATTGACAGAGGAACCACTGTTATAGCACTTGTAATAACAACGAAAGACTGACTCGGAGCGCTAGTTGGCGTTTGTCCATTCAACCAGCTAGTTGTACCTTTGTCGACTATGAAGAAAAAGACGTCACTGAATGACTGAGGGATTTGTCTTCCTTCAGCGGCAGTCTCGAGTGACCCAGTGAGTTTTGATGATTGAGAAGCTTCGATAGTCCAAGTTGATTTCGAAGATCCTACTGACGAAAAGGCGGAAACAGTGGGTGCCACATAGAGAGGTAGAGACGAATCTGCGGAAATCTGTGCCATGCGATTGCTTGCAATAGCAGTTGGAAATGGAGCAGGAGTTTCAGAGCAGGATGCGTACACAGTGACGGTAGATTCGATCGGACCATACTGAGGGGCTGCGCCAGCAGCTCCACATATGACCCATATTGCGATGAGGAAATTGAAAATCATCTTATGATATTTCCTAATTACACTACAATTCTGATTCTGATCGTGTCAAGAGTGAACGAGTGACGAAACGAAAATTGTTGTTTTCGAAGAAAGGTTGAGGGGGTAGGAAATTAAAACTTATCTCTTGATTTGTACGTTCGTTGCCGCAGTGAATTTCAAGCACGGCGGTATATCCCGCTAGATGACTTTATTTAAGCAAGCCAATGAGACCTCTTAAGCTCATCCTATATGCCAATGTTCCTCACTTTCTTGAACAATCAAAAGCTGACTTCGACCTCAATCTTACGAGACTAGCAATGGTGATAGACCTAAGTGGGTACATATCATTTTACCCTTCATCCTCCACACATACATCACTTCAATTTCCCTGAAGGCGAAAGCTTAGATATCGTTTGATTCTCAGCTCACGACATATAATCAGAAGGAGTAGACGCTCTAGATTCCAAGCAATCTCCCCGCGCCAGTCGATTAAATACTTGACATTCAAACGCAAAGACTTAAGACTCCGAATTTTCCGCCATCGAAGATGTTCACATCAGAAGGCATGAGTCAATGACAACACTCAAGCTGATCAAGAATCATAAGTCAAATATACAGCAGAGTAGTAAGACCTGCCCATGATGTGTGTATTGTGGTACACAGCACTGATGGCTTTCAGTGAACGATACGGGAAAATGAGAAGATGTGCTTGCCGTATGTAGCTTCTTGTGATGGAATTTGGAGCTCTTAATAGATGAGTGTGTATGAGAATTACTAGTCCCTCTATTCGATTCTACCTACTCATCAGAAGGGCAGAATGGAGCAGCGCCGACAACATATCTCAGCGCTCAGATTTAAAAGGCAAGCCTTCCAACAACTTTGAAAGGTAGAATGTTGTGATGCAGGACTCCACACGACAAGCAGATAAAGAGACAAGACCAGAAGACTTTTCTTCATCTTAATGGACCTCTCAAGCGAGACCGGGAGCACAAGCACCTTAGATGTAGGATCAACTTGCTAACCATTATCGAGCACGAAGTTCTACTACAATAATAAGTATTCTATATCATATCAGCACGCAGATCCAAGTTCTCAATTTAGGGAGAGCTCATCAATAAATGTCCTCCACAGAGCAAAGATTTAGATCCTCAAACTCTCACCTCAAAAGTCCTCCGTTGACTGCCTCGTTCTGTGGTGATGTATCGGATTAGATCTAAATCTTTACCTCACATCGTCTTTCCCCAATTCTTATTCTTTCCGCTCCCCTTCTTTCCCTCCCCTCTTCCCTCCACTCCACCCTCCCATCCATGCATCCAAACCCCCAAATCCCCCACGTCGTCCCAACCCCCAAACACCGCCACACCGCCACACCGCCACACCTCTCCCCCAACCCCAACGCCAAACACACCCTAAACACCACCCGTTTCAGCTGGTCCTATAAAAAACTCCCTCACCTCCCTCCTCTTTTTTAATATACACACATATGCACAACATATGCGACGCAGCTAAGCGCCACCCGTCTGATCTACCGTCTGAGGTATGTAGTACCGAAGCGTAGGGTGTTTTATCTTGCCCGGGTAGTAGTGTGTATTGTGAGATAGGATGACAGGTCTTTGATTTTGTGTGGAAGTTCAGATTATCTTTTCATTCGAAAGATTTAGATGGAGGTATTGGAAGTGATTGACAGTTGCTTGTGAGGGTTTCTTTTTAATATTACATTCGTGACATCCAGCGTCCTACTACACTACACTAGGTTACACTACAATACAATAAACAAATAGGATATCTATCATGTGTGACATTCGTAAACAATTCCTCGACTCATCTTATCGCATCAAATACATGATGTATATTTCCCATCAAGGTATATACCATTCATCCGCTCACTTATTGATCGCAGAGTATCAATACCCAATGCCTCTGCCCCCGTGAAAGAAAATGATGTAAGAAAGGAGAAGAAGGAAACAAAACACCTTTCCTTTCTACCCAGTCCCCAAGCCCTTACTTTGCCTTACCTATATTAATGATTTTGACTCGTACTCGAGTATCTTGAACCCCTTTCTCCTGTCCATAAGACACCAAATATCTTGTACCTCCCAGATTAAACAAGAAATCTATGCAATAAATTCAAGTCTCGAGCGACGTCTCTTTCCATTGTTTCCTCCTCTACCTCCTTGTGCATTGGTACCGCCATTCTTTCCACCCTGTCCCTTATTCCCACCCTGTGCATTCGCTGTATTAGCTGCTTTTGCAGAGGTACTCGTGCTAGCTGCCTTTGCAGAAGTACTCGCCGTACTAGTTGCTTTTGTAGCTTTGCTCGTAGCACTAGCTGCATTAGCATTTCCTTTGGCAGCTGAACCCTTCGAACTCGTAGCTGCAGCTGAGCTTGCCACCGAGTTGTTAGGCCCAGCAGCCACTGCACTTGCCGCCAAAGCAGCAGCAGCTTGTCCACCGGATCCATCATTCGAAGCTGCATTTGCGGTGGTGCCTGAGCCGGTAACTACGAATTTAGTGCAGTCGTCCGCGGTACCGCGCTGGGCGACAGGCATGATAACTGGTTGATGATTGGACGAAGAAGCCATTGTGCATACACGGTAGTTTCCAGCCGGGAGACCACCGGTCACGACAGCGGAAAGAAGACCATTGCCATCTCCTGCGTCGTTGATACCTTTGAAGAAGGCAAATTGGGTAGCGTCGAGAGCTTTCGTGGGGTTCAAAGAGCTGCCGAGATCTTGGACAGTGACATGAGTGTGGCCAATTACTTTACCGCCGGAGAGATCTTGGGGTGCAGCGAAGTAGGTGGAATCGGCGTTGGTGAAAGATCCGGCGACGATATTTGACATTTGAACTGTGATGTTGAAGGTGGTGTCTGATGGGATGCCTTTTCCACCTGTTGGGGGATTAATGATGGTCGAAGAGACCATGGCGGTCTTGGCGGGAAGTTTTCCCATTGCTATTTACGATTAGATTCGTGTCGACTAGACATGCTTCACAGACAACTTACGAATACCGTTACATGATCCTGTAGTAACTTGTAGACCATTTGTCAAAGTAGAACCAGAGCAAAAGTTGATAAAGTTGTTCTTCGAGGTTGCTGATTTCGCTTGTCCAACTTCCGCCGCACCAATTTCTCCTGAACCATCGGCGAAGGAACCGCTCTGAATAGCATCTGATGCTAATGTAAGGGATGCATCGTTTCCACTGGCAGCTGTAGCAGCGTCTTTTGTCCCCTTTTGCGGTGATGGAATTGCCGCTACAACACTTATCAATGCAGCTACACTTGCGATTTTGCTGATATACATTGTTTTGATTTAAATTTTGGAGTTATAGGTGTAAATGATAATGTAGTATAAATGAATGAAGACCGTCGAGGTGTGAGAGATCGGGAAAATTAGATGCACGGTCAACGTGATCTACTTGACTGGCAAGATAGAATGGAAGTAAATTAAAAGAGAGAAACTGTAAAAGAGAGGAACCCGCCAAATAACTTTGAGCAGAGAGAGAAGAAAGGACTGCTTGTGACGAAGTTGAAAGAAAAGAAGAAGACGAAGCGCCTATACTTATTCTTATTTCTTGGCATTGCGGCATCTGCGAATGTAGTGTAACTTCAAGTGGATCAAGAAAAGGATAGACAGAAGTGATCATGATTCTGCTGCGTATATTGGCAATGGAGATCCCGCTGTTGCATAAGAAGCTATGAAACTAGACATGAGATCGAAGTTGTCGCAGCGCCTGGAGTACCTGTCATCTGAAAAAGGAGAAGGGAGTATGCAGAAATATCAGACGAGGATTCTGATCTAGGTCTACTCTGATCTCAACTAAATCGTGAACATGGGCTAGCTTGCTTGAAATGGGATGAAATGGGATGAAATGGGAGAAATGTAGATACGAAGGTTGGCTGTGTTAGGGCTGATTGGAAACCGTTGATGTCTGAAGTGCAAGGGTGATAAAACTCGCCAACTCGCCGAAAACCATGAAAAATCCAGCCTACCAAAACTCCAATTGATGTCTAATCGGATCATCGAAACCATTAGGAATAAAAGGAATCTACGATGTATTGCATTGAACCAGGGCAATGATATGATATGTTGGATATGAATATTGAGACATTTGGAGTTATGGTGCGGATGATAGCAGTGATTTGGAATCTGATGTCGTCCAAAGAAGGGTTGAAGAGTTAAAAAGGTGAAGGTGGAGAGTGGAGAGTGGAGAGTGGAGAGTGAAGAGTGAAGAGTGAAGAGTGAAGAGTGAAGAGTGAAGAGTGAAGAGTGAAGAGTGAAGGAAGAGTGAAGAATGATTTTGGGGTTACGATAAGCTTGAAGAGTGGATTTTTTAATTTGTACAGGGCCAATTGACCCTGAAATTGGTCCTTGCTTCACTACTACTACTACTACCACTATAATTAGAGTAATTAAAGTTTGGCTCAAACAAGAAATGCAACTAAGTACATTTGAACACAACATCTACAGCATTTACAACCTCAAATAGCTTTTTATTCAACTTCTCAATCAACAGTCCTCGCAGTCTCGACGAGTATTTTCTATCACTTGATGGTCATTCAATCATTGTGACCTTTACATCGATCACCAAAAGAATGCCTTCACAATCTTGGACGAAGACTCCGCAAACTAAGAAATCAGATGAAGCTGCCAACCGAACTATGCTGGGGGACTGAGCCTCCTCAACAGTTCACATCCGAGCATCTTAGGGTGTGAAGTTTCAGACACTGAGGATCATAATGATAAGATATCGGATTATCAATCGGAATTAGGGTTAAAGCTCTACTACTCTATGGTCGCTACGTTGTGTCAACAAGCCGAAATATTGCTTGCAAGACATTGGATCTTAGCATCAGGATCTGACAGCATGGGGATCACTCAAGTCAAGTCAATCATTCACGCACCGTGCACCAAGTCAGAAAATATATCCCGCAGTCAGAGTCAATTCCATACAAGACATTATTTGATACTCTATTGATCCATGTTTCAATACCATCTGGAGCAAAGGCAACGTCGATTTTGCTACGAGCCTTTGTTGCTCATTAAAAGCGTCACCCTCATGTGTACACCTTTTCCACTGTTCGAAAACCTATATTTGGCATCACCAGAGAACGTTTTCAATGATATTTTGACATCATGAAATGTTCCACTATTCAATTATCATTTCTACTGCATTGATTATTACCGTTTTGAACGGTAGAATATTGGCAGCTGTCATCCGAGTTAGCAAATTTTCATTTTGTCCTCGTCTCAGGTCGTGTTACAGAGATCCGATAAGGCTCATTGATTTCCAGGATGCTTATACACTGACCCCGAGCCGAGCAATTTCACCGTTGTTCCCCGTCAATTGTCAAGCATTTTATGATAACCTAATCCTTAGCATCAGTTTGTCTTGAACCGATTCTTATCATATGTTCTGTGAGCGCAGATATGGTAGAATGAATTCGGATTAGGGAACCGTGTGTTTGGAATATCTTCAGGCCAAAATTCACACTCGACGACTAATCAATGTTAGAATGATTACCACCTGCTGAATATTAAGTTTCAATCAGACCGATTTGAAGCTTCATCTCTCCACCCCTTAACCTCCTTTCAAACATCATCAGTGACAGTTGCACCTTTATCTTCAACGTTAGAGCAATTGACCGAATGCAGTCATGAGGTTCTCAAATTGCATTCTCAACATTCTCACAATGTTCTTCACAAAACAAAAACGAACGATAGGCCGCAATAACTATAAATCTCTTGAAATTTTGACTTACAGTTCACTGCCCTTGGCGTGGTTCTATCGAAAGTTGCAAGATTCAGGTCATTAAATAGGTTGGTCTCGATAGAACAAGGATTGAAGCCTGGCTATATAAAGCTCAGTTGCTCCCATATTATGTGTCGAATGAAGGAATGCTGTCAAAAAGCAAGCCGTCATTCATGATATGTTTTGATACAAAGCAGAGTCCAAAATGTACCACGGTGTACTCGATTGACCTGCGTGTCTTTAAACTTCCGCTGAGGCGTGGTTCCGCACAACCATTGTACAGCATACAATTGCGATCGAAAAGAAGCAACATCAAATTGCGGTGAAAGCCTAGGAGTAGCCTCAATCCTATGTTTCCTCATCGATGAACAAGACATGGGATGGCTGTTATGGTGGGGTCGGGCGGAAGTTCTGCGGCAAAGACACAGTAGGATATGGGAAAAGAGAAAGATGCCATTGCCAAGTCCAAACCCACCATTTTATCGCGGATTCCACAGCGTAAGCACACGAGCTACACCTCTGACACCCGAAGGAGTTCCGGTGGCTGTACAACTGGCTGAAGATGACCCGAGACATTGGAATGATGAGCATTGACAAAGTCCCCGAAGTCGATTCTTTTGAGATCATCGTGGGGCGGAAGTGATGCAATCAGGGTTGGTGCCTTGCATATTAACGTGTGGTGCACTGGTGCGTGCTGTATTCAGTCTGTGCTAATACTGCTTCCACCATGGTAGTAATGGAAATCTACTCATAGAATCCAGAGTCAACAACGCACCTTGAATTCGGACAATCACGACTCCGGACATGGCGGAACTTGGTGAAAAACATCTACGATAAGAAAAGTATCACGACGACTACGCTTTCGCCGAAATTTGCCCACGATACAATCGCATCTCATCTTGCTGAGGCTCAATATGAGGGGGGGCATGCCTGTCGTGTGCTACTGATTTTTCTATGGCGTTGCTCTACCAAGACTTGGCTCGTGCAACGATGACCCCTTCGTACCAGTCACCGCATGCAAGTCATGACAAAATGCAACGTGGAAGAGTCTGTATGTAGTCTTGAGAACAATGTTAAGGGAATATGAAGAACATACAAAGGAGAGAACATTGTCCGGTGTTCATGGTATTACATTGTTCGAAATTTTCTTTGGTTTAACAGGCTCAATAGATGCATATAATATCAGCGCTAGGTCCCATAACTTAGCTACTCAGTAAACTTGTGGCACAGCACTGACTGATGTTTTCGAGATGATGACCTTTTTCTACTCGTAACTTTTAACTTCCATCCTTCGACCCTTTCCCTTAAAACTCACATTCATCCCACTTTTGCAGTCAAAATATAAACTTATTTCTTGTGATTGATTCACGGACGAGCCAACCAACCAACCCTTCTGTAGCGCAACAACTGTACAATAAATTCGATCCTCGATTTCTCTTCTTAAGATTTTGTTGGCATATATATTTCTTTCCTTTTACAAGAAGTAATACATACATTGACACCATTCTTTCCATCCACCCGTTGTGAAGGATTATCGATATCAATCCAATCGATTTTTAGACCGCCAAATCAAAAGCACCCAATATTAGTATGCGAGCACCTCACAATTCCGTTACACCTGCATCGAAATCCTTTATTAATGGAACCGCAAATAGGTACAATGTCTTCTCCAGAACCAAGAGTCGTAAAGCGACCAAGTAAGATTCTTTTTCTTCCTTGAGTTTTGTTCTCTTATCTTCAATCGCGCCCTCTTGAAATTTTACACAGGCAATTTCCTTCTCGCACCAATTCAGCGGGTCGCGCCGCTCTAAAGCCAGAGGGAAAAAAAACTTTTCAATCAATAGTTGAACTTTACCACACTTATTACATTATATTGTTCCTGTTAACTCGCACAACTATTTGAATCATTCACCAATCCATCGATACAGCTATACAACGATACATCTTTTTCTTACAATTCACAATCTCTTTTTGGAAGCATTCAACATTACTTCTGCCATCCCATCCACTGACATTTATTCGCAATGGCAGGAACTCAGTCTGAACCTCCTCCAAGTCTTCCTCAAGTCATCGCAGAACAGCATGTTCCAATACCTTCAACCGATAAAGATTCGCAAAGGTTGATTGTCGTTCTCTCTAATGCCAGTCTCGAGACTTATAAACAATCTTCCGGTGGTGGAAGACCTGGCGCCCGTGCCGCAGAGGAAAAATACTCTCTTCTCAACAGTGATGAGCACATTGGTATTATGCGCAAGATGAATCGAGACATCAGTGATGCCCGACCTGATATTACACATCAGGTTCGTATACAATCAAGAAAATGATCAGTCATTTCAATACTGACCTATCGCAGTGTCTTCTCACCCTCCTCGACTCGCCGATCAACAAAGCCGGCCGACTTCAAATCTACATTCATACCGCCAAGGGAGTTCTCATTGAGGTCAGCCCAACGGTCCGAATTCCACGTACTTTCAAGCGTTTTGCCGGTCTGATGGTTCAACTCTTACATCGCCTCTCTATCCGATCTGTCAACTCTCAAGAAAAACTCCTCAAGGTTATTACGAACCCGATCACCGATCACCTACCTCCCAATTGCCGAAAAGTTACATTGAGTTTTGAATCACAATTGGTCCGTGTTCGGGATTATGTGGAGACATTGGAGCCGAAGGAGAGCATTTGTGTATTTGTTGGTGCCATGGCAAAGGGAACAGATAACTTTGCAGATGATCTAGTGGATGAGAAGATCTCCATTAGTAATTACAGTCTTTCTGCAAGTGTGGCATGCAGCAAATTCTGCCACGCTGCAGAGGATGCATGGGATATTATTTAGACTATTCCGCTGTTTTTCTCATCCCACAAAAATTACCGACAAACACATTCGACAGTATACGAATGGAGGAACGGAGCACAAGAGACCGCAGGGTTGTGAATGGTATGAGATAATGGGCATTGGAGGTTTGGTCGATATGAAAAGGTGAAAGCGGGACCATTGAGCAGATTCAACGATAACAACATCGTTCGATATGCTTGTGGTCGCCGGGCTTGGGTATCTGTGTGCTCTGTCTCTGTTTTTACAACCAAAACATAAGGCGTTCAACATTAGATCCAAGACGCTTTAGTCGTCTTCGTGGAATACTTCAACTTGATCCACATCTCTTTTGTCTTTTCCAGTATCATTTTGCATCCACTTTAGAGCTTAGTAGCTACTGCACGCCGGATGACGATAAGTATTTCCCCTTTTCAGCATACATACCTTTGGCGTAGAATTTTGCATTCAGCTTCCTCCCTCGAGCTAGCTAAACTGCAAGCAGTCAAATTGGCATGGGAAATTGGTTCATGCTGCTAGGTGGCAGACACTACCGCGAGTCATTCGGTGACAGCGGATAGCTTCATGTACAAAAATACTACACTGGTCAATGAAAGGGAAATTCTCCAATATTTGAACAAATAACAATGCGTGAAGTTAATCCATCTGTCGCATGCCCCATCCTTCTTGCTCATTAGCTTGCAACTTAACAAGAACGGTTTTCGCGTGATCAAGAATGGGATAACGGTTAACCCGCCTTGGATTTTAAAGTACAACAAAACATTTATACTTTTTCCATGCAGGTTCTAGATTCAGGTCTGCGCAATCGAGATGGAAATGGAAACGGGACTGAAAACTTATAGATCTTGAATTAATCTGCGTATAGTTTCATTGGGTATTTTCCTGTCGCCTTGAATTGACATATCAGAAAATCGTAATAGCAAATGGAGTCTTTCAACCTCGGAAGTGAAGCAGCTGCTCGTTTCCAACGAATTATGGGGATGAAAGACTCGAGTATGGTTCAGATTGTCCTATTTGCTAATCATTGCAGCATGGCATGATCTCGAAACCAATCGCTTTTATTTGAGGCGATGCAATACCGGTAATCCTGGTCTAGAGCGGTCGCATAAATTGGTAGGATGTTGGTAATACTTGGTACGAGACGAGCAAGATTTCGTATGGATGGACGGGAGATCTTCGTAGGAGGCCGGAGACGTGGCATGCGGAGAGGGGAGAGGGGAGATGGGTGATGCAGCGTGCAAGTCTTCTTTATGGTTACGATGCGGGTTATGAACGGTAGGAACGGTAGGCATGGTGTAGGTACAGGTACAGGCACAGGATCCTGCATCGGGAAGATGATTACTTTTTAGTTAGTTTGGTAGATTATAGACTTGTAGAAGATGATGCAGTAGAAGAAGTGATATATGATGGAGATGGATTTTGACATACATCGCAAGTCAATTGGGCAACTTTACATGTCAATCAAATCAGTCCTCTTTTCGAAATTCTATATCAATTCAATTGATTGAGATTTCGGAATCGAAAATTATATGAATCTACTTTGACCCGCTTCTCAATTTACTGATAGTTCAGATTCTCGACTATAACACTACACTACAACATTTTTGACTGAGGCTGTTTATCGTTTGGTGGTATTGAGAGATGTGAGATTGGGATATGTATGATATGGACGCTTTTCAATCGGGTTTGCAATTGGGTGTGTTTTGTATCTTGTGTGCAGTTTTATCCGTCTACCCTAACATTACCAGCCAGGTATGATCTATGGTTGGGCTCATTTCCTTGCCAGGCCAGGCACAAAGAATCGGCCACGATTACCCATAAGCATTTAGGTGAGTGAGTGGCTCGAAACTCGAGACTCAAGAGTGGTCACAAATGCTTGGACAGCATTGATCGAATCGATGGAGTTCAAAGTTCTTGACATGATCAAATCACAAAAAAACTTGTTCGCTACGCCTGGCTCGCTGGCTGAAAAAGAAAAAAAGTTGTGGGGATGTGCTGTAGTGTCTTTCGAGTATACATGGGTTTGATTTGATTGATTTGTATCGGTCTCTTGATCCATTCATTCGAGGGATTAGTATGAGGCGACAACTGTCAAAACTAGATAATGTTCTCCATTCTCTTGCAGTATGCATATATACTATCTACTCCGGACTCAAAAATCCAACACTACGAGTACATACCGATGCATAAACTTAATGCTTCGACAATACTTCCCTTTTGATTCCTCTTTTCTTCTTCCTCTTAATGTTTATTCAGCAATTCAAAGTTCAAGATAGAGTTACAAATAATACTTATATACATTCGTATATCAATTGAATTTTGGCGTTTCTTTTGAAAAGTCTGGGAGATCTTTTTAACGAGGAATTCGGTGCACAGTACGAATTTGGATATCTCGTTAAACAAGTCAGTTCACCTATTATATACATATCCATATACATATGCATTTATTTACATTTACATATCTATCTACATTTGCAGAATTCCTTATTAAATTCGTTTCATAATTCCAAAGGACCCATTTTTTCATCTCATAATCAAATTCCTATCGCGGCAGATTTTCGTTTGGTACAGAGAAATACCTAGTACCTACAGATATTACTTGTCAAGTGTTCCTACCTCCTGCCTGCTTCTTTACCGCATTTTCCCAACCTCCGAAACTTATCAAACGCCAACACTGCCTTCTTGCGAATCTTGCATCACCACGCACCCATCTTCAGCTATTTTCATCAACAATCAATCTTTTTGTCTCACTCTCTAACCTCCGGAGGGTTTGTTTGTGCTTCCCGGCGTGGATCTTTTCTGCATCATCAGAGTAATACGACTTAATTCAACGATCGACCTTAATCTATCGATCTAACGACAAAGACGATTGACAAGTTAAATCGTTAACAATCATTACTTGTGTGTTTCATATTCTGGGACTTGCTGAATGAAGTAAATGTGCATGCACACACGAGTTCACCTCATCTCATCTGACCGCTGACCGCCTTTATATCCACAACTACATAGGTAGTTAGCAGATCAAGCGGAGCAACTAGGAACAACCAAGACCAAACCGGAGTCACATTTTTTAGAACTTATCAGGGTCGTCATTCCATCTTCATCGGATGTTCCTTTTTCTCGTCATAATTTTGGGCATTATTTGAAATACATACATTCACCGTTTCCCTCTCACCGTTAACACGTTACACCGTTCACGCCACCTCGATTCGAGTCATTCATCTTTACTTCAGTTTGGGAATATACATACATACATACACACGCATTCGTTCGACTTTTCACAAGTCTAAGAAAATACATTGCATTTTAGATATCGAAATCAGCACAATTATCCTGAACAACAAACAACATCAAGAACGAAACATAAATTCAAATTATACACTAGACGCCATAACCGAAGATGGCTTCCCGCGGTCGAGAATCCTCCCGTCCCCCAACTATAGTCACAGCTGCCACTGAAAAAGAAGCCCGTCGTGTTCTTCAATGGCAAGAAGAGGTTGCCAGAAGTACAGCTGGTAGTTCCACTTCACCTACTTCAGACGAAGCATACCGTGCTGTGGCTCCAAGTCACGTTTCCAGAGCACCTGCCCGAACACAAGTTTCCCATGCTCCTCAATCTCAAGCTCCAGAACACCCACCTTTTCGAAGAGCTGAAACTTTCCCCAGAGTTATGAGGAGAGAAACTTATGCAGGTCATGGGCATCCGGGTACACAAGTTAGTATCCGCAGGGACATGAGTCATGATGAGGAGCAAACTGTCTACGTAGACGAGGTAGAACGAGCCGAGCAAGAAAAAGAAAAAGAGAAGAATGGTGGGCTCTTCGGCATGACCAACAAAGCTCTCGTGGGTACGTTTCTTGGCGCGGCTGCAGGCGCTGCATTCGCATATGCAATGGTCAAAAGTGAAGACCCCGAATACGAATTAGAACCAGAGCGTAAACCGATGCCGGGTCTAAGAAGAAGCTACACCACCGGTCATGCGGAGACTATCGCAAGTAGCACGAAAGGTTCTTCAGCCGGAGGCCCAGAACGCAGATATAGAGTTATTGAAGCGCCACATGCTCCTATGCCTCCTCCTGCCTCTAGCTACTCGCGCATCCAACGTGATCGCGAACGCGAGAGAGAGGGCGTGCTAAGTCCAATTGAAGAACGCAGTTACTACAGCTCTGTCGCACCTTCAAACACAGGCACGAAAATTCGTCCTCGTAACACAGCGGATCAGGGAGAAGGTTCGAATGCCGGAACCGCAAGACCACCCACCGCAATCAACATCCGAGACAAAGCTCAAAGCATCGCACCCACCAAGGTAAGCGAGCGAACTAGCACCGTCAAAGCAGTCAGTCGTGCCCCAACCCAAGTCTCGCGCGCCCCCAAAAGTCAAGTCAGCGTGCGCGAATCCGAATACGAGTACGGACCTGCTCCGACTCAAGTTTCCGCAGCTCCTACGCGCTACTCACAGGCGCCTAGAGGCGATGATGCAAAAAGTAAGATCAGTCATACACATACTACGATTAAATTCTCACCGTCAAAAGTAGGCGCGAGCTCGCGAGAACGCATTCCCCGATCGGAAGCGACGTGGGAGCGAGACGATGTATCGGTTAGTGCGGTGAGCGAGCGCAGTCGGGCGAGAGATGTGCCGCTTCCGGCGTCGACGGTCGTGAGTGCGAGGTATGGTGGTGGGTATCGGGAACAGGGAAGTGGGTATACGCATGCCGGGGATCGAGAGAGGGATGCGGAGAGGAGGGGAGAGAGGGATGGGAATGATAGGAAGAGTTGTTTTGATAGGGGGGTGGATGAGGATGGGAAGAGCTATTTTAATCCGCGGGGTGCGATGAGCGTCGCGCCTTCGGATAGTGTGAGTAGTGTGGGGAGTAAGAGGGAGAGGATTGAGAGGCTGAGGGGGAGATTGGAGAGAGATTTGAGGGTTTAGTTTGGGTGATGGTGGGAAGAGGTTCTCGTCTTCTGACGTTCGTCTCTCTATCTATATGTCTCTCTACATGAGGATATACTCGGGTCCGTCTGTTTCAACTCTTTTTACCTTTTAACTTTTTACGGTTCTTCACATTGTTTATCTTGTCTATCTGTTTTTCTACACAGTTGGTTATTGGTCCTGTTCTGATATTTGTATCTTTTTTATCGTTTGTTTTTATTTCGCGTCGCATTCGCTCGCTTGCTTTTGTTCTGGATGGATGAATGAACGGTATGCTTGGAGTGGGGATTTAATTGTCTGAATGAAAAAATTGGATGGACGGTGGAATGGTGCGATGATGCGATGAATATATGCACATACGAATACATAAATGAATAAATGGAAAATTGATAACGGGATGTTTTTATGTTTGGTTGGATTTGTTTGTGATATTTTTCTGTGCTGTTCTGTGTGTGGTGTAATGTGGTCATTTATGGGGTAGGGGGTGCATGCGAGGATTCTACGTTGCTGATATTTCCTCTTGTGATTGGGGAAGTTGAGGAGTAGAGATTTTGGAGGAGGGAGAGATGGGGTGGGTGGGTTTATGTGTTGAGATTGATCTGAGAAGGGAGTATGTGTGGTAGGTATGCATGAGTATGTATAGATACAGTAGAAATATTAATAGGAGTGTGGGAAGGAAGATGTGGAAGTATGTAATGATATACATATGTATATACAATCTGTGTGGTCTTATTTGTCTCTCGCTTTTTGTCACTTGTGTAGAAGATCTGGGGGGAGCGGGGAGCGGAGCGGAGGTGGACTTCCTCGTATTTGCGATATTGTTATTATATTGATGAAGTTTGCAATGTTATTAAAGGGTTTTGGGGGTGGCAAAATAGGATTTGTTTTGCAGTGAGTGGTGAAGATGGGATAATGGATGGGTGATTGTATGTGTTTGGATGAGCAAATAGTAAAGCAGGTATGAAGGAGCTGAGAATGTTTCGCTGGCTTGGATATATCGATACAGAGAACTCTTTCCTTGAGGATTTTGTCTAAATGGAGCGAGTTTGGGGAATGAGATGGGGTGAGGAGGAGCATGGGTGTAGTGTGAGAATGAGTGGGTTGGGTGGGCTTGATATGTAGTTATCTTACCTTTTGATGACTTCTCGAACGTGAGCTCTGTTTTGATCTTTCAAGATCGATGATTATGGTCTTGTGGGAAGTTTAGTCTTTATATCTTGAAGAGCTACATCGTAAGTGGGGTTTGAGCGAGCTTGAAATTTAGGATGGAGCTGATTTGGAGATGATTTTTTTTTTGATGGTGATGATTTGTTTCTTCTTTGTCTAAGATTATATGCTCGGGGGTCTTTGTAAGTATGGTGGTTTAAATATATAATATTGTGATGCTGATTAGATCAATCGTTCATTTATGAAGCTATTTAGAGATTGTAGTTGAATCCCCCTTCCATATTTTTAATTTTTATATAGAGTCATTCGCTATTGAGTGTAGTTTACCCCAGATACTGTTCCGTCTCGGGATTAGTGTAACCTACATCAGCCTGTCGAGTTTTGATGGTAGCTTGTGTCCGACACAACTTTTTATCAGAAGAATACAGCTACATGATTCGTATATATCAATCCTCCATAATCTCAGCTCAATCTATCTCTACTCTCCATTCCAAGTCTCATGTCCCGACGTTGTCATTTATCTTTTGGGTATTCATTCCAAGTCTTGATGCTATTGTCTGTATATTTCGTGAAATGCAGACGTCGTTACACCGCAGGGCCTACCCCCGTCTCGGTTTTCATTGGGCCTTGACATGCTCATCTCATAAACATGATCGACTACTTAATCCACCATCTGTCAAGAATAGATACATTACTTCACAACATTCCATCAGATATCTCCAACTTTCCTCAATACGCTCAACATGCTCTGCAAATTGTGTGACAGCTTGAATGTAACCGACCTGCTCAAGCTGGCAAAGGCCAATAGTGATCAGGAATTTGGTTACGTTGACTACCTTTATTTTGAGCATCACAAAAGATACGATGATCTCGTGACCGCGGCCTCATCCGGGTGTGAGCTTTGTCTACTTCTTCAACGGCAATGCGAGGAAGAAGAGATTAATAAATCCGAGCTAAATAAATTATTGACATGGGACAAAATGTCTCGAATTATGGAGGCGGAGAATAGGTCCTTTAACTTGCGAGTAGAAATTGGATGTTCGGCTCTATATCACGGTCAACAATACGAAGAATTCAAGCTTCTTAATCATTTGATTTTCACATATTGGCAGGAGAATGGAAGTGGTGATTACAACAGCATTATGGTTTGCTCTCTGCAGACGCCGAAAGGTATTGTGAATTCTGAATATGCAGCTCTGTTGAGAAAGGTGCCTTGCCCCATTCCTGGTCACTGATATTGAATAGATCAACCGAAATTTATCGACGATATTCGAATAGGTCAATTTACCATTGACGAGGATTTGGCATCAGATGCAAACTTTGACATTGCACGAGGCTGGGTGAATACCTGCATTGTTGAACATTCTAAATCGAAATGTCCTTCTTTTGAAGACAAGCTCTTACCTTCTAGAGTGATTAATGTTGGCCTGGAAAACACAAATCCATCTCTTGTTTTGACAGACGGTGTTAGGGGCAAATATGTTGCACTGAGTCATTGTTGGGGGGGGCACATTGAGACCATTTTAACAACGTCGAATCTGCAATCGCTCCAGAGAGAGATCAAAATGACAAGCTTACCGCCTAATTTCAGAGACGCAATTTTGATCACTCGAGCGCTCGGCTTTCAATTTCTGTGGATCGATTCCTTATGTATCATTCAAGACTCCAAGTATGATTGGGGAATTGAATCCAAAAAGATGGGAGAGATTTATCAAAACTCCGTCCTAACTATCGGAGCAGCAGCAGCACATAAAGCTGCCGATGGTATGCTTCACCCTCGATCACAAACATCTCGTGACATCAAGCCTAAACTCAAATTGTCAAAAGACAGTGGATCCGATGACGTTGTGGAAATTAGCAGTAGCATCTTGTGGCCTGAAAATCTCCGCAAATTGTTTGAATCTGGACCTTTACGATCTCGAGCTTGGGCATTACAAGAGAGAATACTCTCACCTCGAATATTGTGGTATGGTCGCACACAAATCTATTGGCAATGCCTATGTGGATTTCAATCTGCGAACGGCATGCCATCAGGTAGTAGCGATTTTCCCCGTGGCGAACTCTACATTTATCCTGTAATTACTCAAAGACTTATATTTAACCAGAATTGCAATGATGGTTCCAAAGAGTTCTCCGAAGAAGAACTGCTAGAGATGAATCACGAGTATCAATCTATAGTAATGGATTACAGCACCCGATTTCTAAGCTGCCCAGATGATAAACTCCCAGCTTTTTCCGGCATTGCAGCACTACTCCACAAAGGAATTGGAGGACATTACTTAGTCGGAATTTGGAGTAAAAATTTCCGGGAAAACTTGCTATGGTATACCTTTCTAACCAAACGACTTTATAAAAAGCAGTACCGAGCACCATCATGGTCCTGGGCTGTCACGGATGAAGGAAGCCTTGTATTTTACAACAATTCAAGTCGCTTAGCTTCTACCCCTCATGATCCTATTCTTTTATCACATCACATCGAACTTTCTAGCGAGAATCCTTATGGTGCTGTCAAATACGCCCATATCATTGTTGACACGCTTACACTGAAGTTGATTCACCTAGGTAAATACAAGAATCCCTCCAACAAAACCGGTTTCTTCTTAACCTCAACTTGGTATGGGGATACTGGCCTCACTTACTTTACCCCCCCAACTTCTCTCGAGGAAGAGGGCGAAATAACAACACCAAGCGAGGGATCTGTAGCCTCTACAGCTATTGAAACCAGTTTTAGAGATGCCAAGCTGCGAGCTTCTCACAGCTACAGCTGGGACGAAGACACACCCGATTGGTCGGCTGTTTCTCCGTTTAAGTATAAAGTCATGCTCGTAGGGTTAGAGCGGCAATCGGAGAAGTGCGGAGCTGGTACATCCGTGCTGGAATCAAAATCGTGTTTAAAATGTTTGATCTTGCAAGAGGATCCCGAAGATGCAAAGGTGTGTAGACGTGTGGGACAAGTGAGCCTGAACTACTATTACAGAGAGACAGAAAAGCCCGATTTGGATGCATGGCTGGCTTCAGATCTGTGGGAAAGAGAGACCCTAAAGTTGATTTGAACCGGAACCTGACAGAGGAAGGCATGTGGTCTTCTATCAGTAGTGCTGAATTCTGGAACAATCTTGTTCCCGTATGGTAGATAGACCGATTTTTTCTATAGCGAATGCTGATACATTGCAGTAAGACTTCGTTCATTTTATTAACCATGGGTGATTAGCGCGGAAAGGAAGGTAGAAAGATCCACGAGACTTTAAAACTCGGAGCAACATAGCTGTGTTGAAATTGTAAGATCTTAAAAGCATTGTTATTTTCTAAAATATTTAAACAATAAGTATTATTCAACGGAAACAAAAGCAACTTCAAGGCAACTATTACCATCCACAGCCCAGCACGCACCCTCCAAATTTAGATTACACCCCCACGACAACCCCCCAGGGAATCACAGATCTGAGCAAAATCTCAATATCCGCATCTTAGATGTGGATGGCAGCACTTCAACCAAACTTTCCATCAAGTTTACGCGTCCGCAAGCTCGAAATCTCAAGTAAGTAAGAAAGAAAGTGAATGCACCACCCACAAACAAACACACCCATCTACCACTTTCCAAACAAGATGCCTACAAGCAAACCTCCCACACCCTGCAAAACACCCCCAACCAAAGCTCCAGCAAGCATAAGTACATCCCCCACAATGGCATCTAGGGTACCCAACACCAAACCAAGAGCGCCAATCAACCCACCGATAAGCCCGCCGGTATATCCTCCTCCGAATTTGCCTTGCACGAGACCCATGGTTCCGGCAATCGAAGTGATGGCATTAGCGCAAGTACCGCTGATGATTTGTTGATCTTGAGCCGAGTAGGTTCGAGCTTCGAGATCGCGTTTCTGGGTCTTGAGAGCGGTGTTGGCGGTGCTGGCCGCGGTGATGATGTTTGTTACTGCTTTGGAGATGGCGGCTTGGGCGGTGCTGTTTTGGGCAGAGGTGGAACCGGAGTTGATGCCGTTGAGGGTTGAGTCTGGGGGGTGTTAGTGGGGATGGAAAGGAGGTGAGTTGGGGAGGAGAACTTACTGATGGTTCCGGTGTGGGTTTGGACTTGGGTGTAGAAGTTGTTCATGATATCGGTTGCGTTTGCGGTAGCACGGGACTCGACTCCAACGATTGTTGGGGCGGCGAGTGAAGTTCCGAAGAGACCGGTGATGGCGAGGAGGGAGATGAATGAGGTTTTCATTTTGAATATCGAAAGGGGGGAAGATACGAGGTGATCAACGAATGAATTGAAAATAAGTGAAAGAAGAAATTTTCGATGAAAAATTTAACGAATGTCGTTGAAAGAGAGTTGGAGTGAATGTATTATGATGAAGCAGAGAAAGAAAGAATGAGCTGGATCGATGAAGATTGATGTAGTTGTCGAGAGAATTCAACATCTTTATATACCCATCCTGTGGTCCTGAACACTCATCCAGACCTCTCAAGCAAGATCAATTCTACACACATCGCACATAGCTTTTCTCGTGTGATTGCTCCATCACGAGCTATAAAATTACCGTGATATCTTACCTACGCCAAAACATCAAAACTAATGCGCATACGAGTGCATTGACTGATCAAACAATTTTCTTCAAAACCCATCTCGCAGTTGATAATTGACAGCTTATTTCGACATCGTGATAATATCATCAAACGAAACAAAGCACAGACAATAAACCATCGCAAGAATTCGGTACAAAGACAGCTTTGACATCTCACGTGGAAAGTGCCGATCAAATTTAAGCTATCTCGGACGCTAAGGTGATTAGCTACATGGATATGTGCATCTGTCTCGTACAATACGAGGAATGGTACTATGAATAACTTCATTTTTGTTTGGCTTGGCCCGAGGTCCGCGGTCGTTGGATTTTAGAGCATTGTTAAATTTTCAGGACAGGAGGCGAAGCCTATACTTTCCGAATGAAAGGATGGTGGTGGGTAGGATGAGGGAATACCCTGTCTATCAGGGCTAGATGAGTGTTAGAGAGGTTCTGAGCAAACGGCAGTGAGCTTCATGTTCGCTTCGAGGACTTCAATGGGCATCGTATAGGAGTGGTGAAACATGAAATCCGCTTCTATTAATTTGGTATCATTGTCGAGCAGGAAAAGGGATGGCTCTTGTGCCATGATAGCAGAGGACTGCGCATGGTGATGGGAAGAAATGAACATTAAGAATCCGATTGGACGACTATTAGAGGAGAATTTCCATATCTCGTAGCGATACGATGTGATAAATGATGAGGTAGAGTCTGAGAGTTCGGGATTTTAATCAGTGGGGAATTGGTGAACATTATGGAGGGACTCAGGATGCCAAACTGCGATTCGGTATGTGTTGAGTTACTACGGATTACCTGGTAATGGATGCAATTTTTTTGGAGAGAGTGGTATTTCTAAATCCTTGCAGTATTGAAAAGCGAAAGACGAAAGACAAAGCACTTGCCGCAAACTTTAGTTCCTCTCGACTATTCAGAGTTGTTGATGTCCCGACCATTCAGTGAAATGGTGCTAGCAGTGTATCATTTTCGAACTTCTTATACGTCAATTTAGAATGCCCAAAGTTCTGGCTGGCCATCCAAATATCCTTCGATAATAGTTTCATCACCGGATTGCCATCCAGGTAATCTTCTTTTGGAAGAGCTCAAGATATTGGTTGGACCAAATCCAATTAGTTTCCAATTTCAACCGAAAAGAAGTTCAGATCATATCCTGAAACCTCAAGAGAATGCAATGCAATGTAGAAGGACCAGAATATCGATCCGAGATTGAAGGGGCATCAAAAGAGACTAGGAGATAAAGCTATCATGAGTAGCTTGAAATCAGGTAAGGATGACATCGACTTCTAACCCACTTCGGTCTTCATGTTGTACTACAACAAATTTCATTTCAAAATATCACATAACATCACATGTCAGCATTTTAGTGGGAGACCGCTATTTCATTTTAAAAACACTATGGTTCCAGCCTAGGTATTTTCCTCTTTGGGATTGAATCATCGCAAAACGCCGAGAGCAGCCGCTCTTTTCCTTGCCGTTCATTCATTCATTCGTTCATTCATGTATTCATCCATTCATTGCCTCTGCTCAGTCCCAATCCCATTTCGCCTGCCTCTCTTTCCAGTCTATGCTCACTCAGAGGCAACCAATCGCATACTTCGCACCCTCGAAAACACCCTTAAAATACTTCTCGGCAAACTGAACACCAACAGAAGTAGGATGGCTAATAGCCATTTCATTCTTCTCCACAATCAAACCCGGGATGAACTTCTCTCTCGCTTGGTTTGCAAGAGATGTAGCGATACCCTTTCGGCGGAAATTGGAGTGGACCCAGAGTCGATCAATGCACATGTATGCTTCTTGTGGTACAAAATTGACAGCGGTGGTGAGATTTGGAGATGTATCGGAGAGAAAGGCCGAGGGTGAGGCTGAGAGTGAGGCATTCTCAGCGGTTTCGGAAGTAGTCATAACAGGGGTTGCTTTGCCAATTCGCTCAGCGAGAAGAATACCAATTGGACGGGCGCCGATAACGTAAAGAAAGACCTTGTAGCGGGGAACAGGAATAAGATCTTTGGCGTCGTTAGGGCTAGTGATCATGGACCAGAGTTGCTCAGGAGTTGGTAAGATGCCATCCATATCCATCAAAGTAGCCTCAAGGATACTCTCTACAAGACTCTTGACGGGACCAGATTCCTTGCAGCTGATGCACTGGATGGTGTGGAGTTCGCCGTCGAGAATTTTTTGCCATGCTTGAGTATTGACGTACTTTGGCTTGAAAAGAGGTCCACCCAGTCGGAAGATCTTGTGGAATTGATCATGCATACGTTGGTCCGAAGGGACGTTAATCGCATACTGCATGCCGCAATTAGAGCATTTATTGGAAAAGGATTGACCGAGATCTAGAATTTGTTGATGAAGAGCAAAACCCATGGGGCGGGCGATCTCGGCTCTGAGCTTTGCGCGTTCTGGAGCTTCAAGGGCTTGGTCGACAAGAGGGATGAGAGTGCCGCGATCGATGATAGCTTGGTCTCTCATGTCTTGAGCATCTTGATAACGTTCCATCAATTCAACTCGGGAATCATCGGTGAAGTCTCCACAGAGTTCCTGCAAATCGTCTTCATAAATTTCAGACATGGTGTCGATCTTTGGTAAGTTTGGTTTGGTGCTAATGCGACGTCGAACCGACTTCGATCTTTTCAATGTGGGATGATACTGGGGTATTGAGGGAGGCGATGAAGGAGGAGATGATACTGGATGCTGAGATGAATCAGAGAGAGTAGATGATTGTGATTTTGGTGGACTCGAAGATCGTTGTGGTTGTGGCTGTGGTAATGGTTTAAAGTAGCTTCGAATTGAAGATTTGTTAGCTTTCTCAACTGGATGGAACTTTGAAGTAATAGCGGTATCTTGTCTGGATGATATCTCTGACGAGGGAGAAATTGGTCTCTTTTTCCAAGCCGAAGTAATATTTCTCCGTGGATTTTGCCTCGAGGTTTCTGAATCACTTCTAGTATGATTCGAAGCGAGACTTTCTTTTGAAAAAATTAATTCTGAGATAGGAGAGGGTGATTTCGTCGTATTAGTGACTGTCTTATGCTGCAACCTTGAACTAGATCTCGAGACTGTCGTAGAGTTCGAAGCCTCCGGGGTAGAAGTGAGTGTGGCGCCTTGAACCTTCGTTGAAGATTTACGTTTCAAAGAGTCAGGAGAATCGGATGATTTGATCTCATTATCGCGTTGATTTTGCTGATTTAACTTGAGTTCCGTGAGAGGAGAGATAGATCTGACGGATCTAGGAGATAAAACTCGTGAGTTTATGAGAGAAAAATCCTTGATCTCTCCCCGTGGCTGCTTCGAAGGAGAACGAATCAGAGGAGAACGTGGTTTTCCCTCAAATCTATCCCTAGAATGGGGTTTCGAAGGACTAGCGGATTCAGAAAGAACTGGAGAGGTAATTGACACGAATTCCGAAGCATCAACGCGTTGTCTCTTGTTGGAGAGATTTTGATTGCTTCCTCTTGTGTGTTTGGAATAAGTTCTCATGGTAGCATTGCTTTTTCTTAGGGTACATAATTAGCGGCTATGCTTTTGCAAGTGAATATGTGAGTTGATACCTTTTTGAGTGATTCTCCATTGTTACTTCGGGTTGTGGTGTTGAATCTTTGTGATAATCTTTCTCCTGGTCATGATATATTGAAGTTCTGGGGAGACGCGTTTCGGGTAATTCTGATAGAAGTTGTGAAAACACGCTAATTAAAGTGGTGGTCCGTGCTCGAACTGATTAAGAAATATACTCAATCAAGTCATCCAACATACATTTCATGAACATTTCGACATCCGATGAACGAATGCATGAACCCTTCATCTTTGTACACCAAAAGGTGAACTCAAGAGTGAAACTGAAATATAGTCATATTATGTTTGATTGTTCTCCTAACTTTCAAAAGCCTTGTTCTCAGCCTTGCCTTATTGAATCAATAAGAATTCTGAGAGTTACTGCACCTGGGCAGATACTATGAAGTTGTCTTATTCCCCCAAATTCGGCTTTCTTCATGTTATAGAGTTCTTTTTCTTACATGAAGAAGGTTGCCTAAGGCTGGTATCTAGGTATGAAGGTAATATGACCGAGTATACGTTGATTGTAACATGAATACTCACAACACTCTGATATCGCCCCAGAGGTTCTCACGTATTGACTCGTTAAATCAAGACTTGCGAAGGGACGGTAAGTTTGCAGAATCTTCACTTCAGGTACTTGAACGCCATGCGAGTGATGGCTGACCTGCATCATTGGATTCCGGGAAAGTGCTATCTGTGAGAATGTGGGAATATTAACGGGTAAATACTCGTACCCGTCAGGTTCGAGCTGGGTGGTTACTTTGAGATGGCATCTGCCCGTGGATAAGTTGTCTAGGACCCAATACTGTCACAGTGAGTTTATGAACGCTTTCTGTCCAAAATGCAGTCATGTTTCACCAAACAAACCTTAAGCATTTCGATGGTCTCATGTGAGGAACCTTGAAGTGGTGATTGGAATGTCATTTTGTTCGTGCGAGTGTGCTAGGTTTCCTGATAATTCCCAATATATCATGTGATTTATTGGAGGTATACAAGAAGTCGGGCAGAATGTTATCAACGTAGGGCACTGTTGTGGACAGGGAAAGATGTGGTCGTGGTGCGTATTGAGGTTGACATAGAAACGAATGGTTCGGGTGCATTTGCTTTTATTGTATAGGCGCCGCTGGAATAATAATACTTGCCCTACGTTCTAAAAAGCTCACACCCAGCCCAGGTAGCTATAGTTGAACTCCTAAGGATATACATGTACATTTGAAGTAGGTTATTGAGTTAATTCAAGATTTCTATGGAAGGATATGTGACCACAGGCCGAAGAGATTTGCGAACTACCAGGTAGAAAGACACGTGATACGGGTTGTAGAATCAAAGAGCTATTTGTGCAAACCGGGTTAATATTAATACAAAAATCGGCCTTTGATTCCTGGAGGTATTAAGCGTCTATTTTGATTCTTGAGATCCTGTCTATATAATTCCCGCCAAGTTGAAAGCTTTTTGTATAATACAATTGTTTTGCATCCGGTACAGAAGGCGTGATATCGTTGGTACAAACCAAAAACTTCTATTTTGTACATTTCATTCATTTCCTTCGTTTCAAGGTCTTATCCGCCATTTCTATCAGGCCATCCTTGGCCTCGCTGTCGGGGAATGCACTGATGGCAGAAATTGCCCTGCTCGCATATTCTTCAGCCAAGGCACGAGTTTGCTCTAAGCCATCGCTTTGTAGCACTAATTCCCTTGCCTGCGATTCTGTTAGTGCGAACTCTTATATACTCGTCGTGAGATAACCTACCCGCAACACATCTCCTTCCTGAGAGAACTTCCTTCCCACTAGGGAGCCCAGCTCTTTGTTATTCTTCCATGCAAATATCAATGGGGCAGTCGCAAGACCCAATTCCAAGTCGGCTCCTGCCGGCTTTCCCAGTTCTTTCTCGCTGATTGTATAATCCAACATATCATCAACAAGCTGGAATGCCAATCCCAGGTTCTTACCATAATCATACGCTGCATCAACAGTAACACCATCTGATCCTCCGAGTAAAGCCGCTGCCCGGCATGACTTTGAAATTAAGCTTGCGCTTTTCAGGTATGTCTTTTGTAGGTAGTAAGAGATCGTCTCTTCAGTCCAAACAGGATTCTTTTCGTCTTGCGCGGTGTTCTTCAATTGCATGAATTCTCCCTCGACAAGGTTCGCAATGACTGTCGCCAATAATTCGGTGACTTCCGCATCACGCAGACGTGCAAGAGCTACTGAGGCTCGGCTCAACAAAAAATCCCCAGCCAAGACTGCCATTTTGTTCCCAAATTCGAGATTGGCAGATGGGTTGCCTCGCCGCGAGACGGAATGATCGATGACATCATCATGTAAAAGGGACGCAGTGTGAATAAGTTCCGTAATCTCAGCCAAACGTCTTTGAGAGGGGAGTATGTCACTTTCGGCTGACGAATATGTTCTGGCACATGTGCCAAAGGGTTTAATGTAGGTGCGGTAGGATTTACATCCGAAAGAATGGTAGTCGGCGATATTGGGTTGTCTATATCTGCAATTTCTTGATTGGGATTATATCGAGGAGATTTGGGCGCTAAGGCTGTAGCTCTAGACATTAGTAGTACAATCATAGGTCGTACATGCTTGCCTTCAGCTTGTGTATAGTATTTCGCAACAGTGTCGAGAGAAGGATGTCCAGATCCAAGGAGTTGCCGTATGTTGCCAGTCAGAAACTTCATCTCTTTCGCAACCATTCGTAAAGGGTCTATCGAATCGGCCCCTCCTGTCGCCCGGGTGGTAGCATTTGAAAATACATTGGACGCCACAGATACCGCCTGCGCCCAGGTTGATTGCTTCCGCCTTGTAGAGTTATAATGGTATGGACGAGTGAGTATAGGACGTAGCGATGCCGTGCAAGCTAATTGACACCGAAAACATGCGCCATTGACCTGCGTTCTGGTTATGGAGGAGCTGGGTAAGAGCTTCGAAGCCCTCATTGAATAATTTCTCATGGCCTATGAAACCCCCACTATGTCGAAATACCAGTTTTTCTTCGTGGAAAAGACAGTTTAAATACTCAATTCGACGTATTAGTACCTCGAAGTCAAAAGCGGCCGTAGTAGTCCTTGTAAACCTGGTATGTATGAAAGAATGTAAGGAATATAAAAATTATTCCCCGCAAGATTCCGAGCATGAATATTTCGGTTGGACTAGACCAATGTCGGACAAGTTGATGCCGATAAGCAACTTTTACCGATAAGCTTTGAAAGCGGGAAATGATATTGGAGCTATCACAAACATCTGAGATTGTGGTGAACTACTTGATACATTCATAGATTGCGAAAATGGTTCTCCTTACCATGACTCCGGCTATAGTTGAAGCATTAAAACTCCTCCACAAATTCGAAAATGGCCATTCTCATGACGAGCCAACACAGCTGCCTAGTGAACAGCAAACGGAGAGAGGAATTGAAGAAGACAATCTGAAAACCTCCTCGGAAAACAAAGTCCAACTGAATGCGGAAGACAACAAGACAGATGCAGATATCACTGAAGAGAATATCCAGACTAAATTGCTGGCACAGCAGGATGTGCCCACAGCGAGTTTGGAAGACGCAAACCTGGCAGAAAATGCAAAGGTGTCACAGGAACCACTGTTAGAAAATCCTAAAATTGGTAATCCCATATCTCATGGTCAAACCATTGATCTATCTCGAAATTTAAGGAAACATAATCTTTCACCGCTCACTTTGGAGCTCTTGCTTCGAGGGTCTCGTGTCTATGTTTCACCTCCCGTACCAAAGGCGGAGCCTGTAAGTTATGATTCAAATCTGCCGATGCCGATTCAATTTAATATCTGAAATAAGCTCGATTAAGATATTCACTACATGTTCCAAATGGCACATGCTCGGCGTTGGGCGATAGGCATCTAAGCTAACATTATATCATCTGTAGACGTCGGAATATAAAGCTCTGATGGCAAGACTTCGACGCGAAGAGGAAGCTCGAGCATATGAACGAATGACAAATCCGCCGCCTCCTATGGAAACATTCGCACAAAGATTCCCGTCTACATCTGCCGCTCATGCTTTCACTGCCAACTTTCCAGAAGCAGGAAACACTGAGGATGACGACGTTACATATGCGGACATCGATCGACAAATTGCTGTTATATTTAATGTCATTGTATCTATTATTGCTTGTGCATTTGGGTTATGGATGGCTGCAAGATGGTGGAGCACACCTGCCCGATTAGCTTTGAGTATGAGTGGTAGTCTCCTGGTTGGCATTGCCGAGGTGGTAGTTTACATGGGCTACATCAGACGAGTTGGAGAAGCCAAAGGGCAAGCGAAGAAGCTGCAGGAGGTCAAGGAGGTAATGAAGACATGGGTAGTTGGTGGCGATGCAATGGATGAACGAACAGAGCCTGTCATAATTGGTGAAAAGGACGCCATCGGGGATGCACAGCCACGCAGAAGAAAGAACGTTTGATACAAGCTCAGGAAGCTCTGTTTTGAAGTTTCTAGAGGTGTGTCCTATTATGATCTTTTAATTATTAACATCAGACGATGTTGATGGCTCTGTAACAATAATGGAAGTTTCGCGGCTTACGGCAGGTCGAAATCTGTTACGAGTTTTAAATTAGATATACAACAGTCTACCGTGTTTACTCAAATCATTGTAGGTACGCATTGGTTCCGAAAGGTAGAATTATATGCGGCAAAGATTTGAGACAGGCGGCTAATCGACGAAACAGAGGAGTGAGAGGATTGCTTCATCGCATCCCACGATAAATTGGCGCTAACATTACAGGAGATCTGCGAGACATGGACTTTGACCATAATGGGGATATATATTTAGTTGATAATATCCCTAGAAAGTTCTTAGAACATTCAGTCACATTCCTTCGAGTCAAGAACAATACATTTTTGTTTCCATCGCGAATCAGAATACTTCGTTTCGAATCCATCCAACATCTATTTTTAGATACGGGATAATCCCATTCCAACAAATATATCAAGCACATTGCATGACCTTCAACATCCTCCTCCATTCAACTCTCCATCTATACCGAGCTCATAATTCATCCCAGCAATTGATTCAGAATTGTCAACTACCAAATTCCTACAATATACTCGATCTCATCGCAGCTTCTGAGAAGCACAAGATCCGGTCCTTCCAGCCACAATCAGTCACGCCCACAATTACTTTTCGAAAGGATCACGAATTCTGATTAAATCTCGATTGTTAATATTATGGATTCTCTTACTGAATATCAACAACAATTGCAATCCCTGGAGCATGAGAACAAGCAGCGACAAGCCCGCGCACGAAAGGCCAAGGCATCTCAGAATGGCTCCTTTATGTGTGATTCTGCGGAATCCCCGTGTCTTCTGGACGTACAATTAGAAATGCTACGTAGGAGCATGACTTCTGACTCGCATGGGGGAAAGCCAGACTCGACGACATCGAGGTGATGCTTTGCTCTTTTCCATGCAGTTGTTTCTTTGCCGGGCTGGGATATTTATGGGGGTTATGGCAGGAATAGATTCGGGATAAGTCAACAAGGGTTAGACGGAACTTGGTACGGCGGTTTTGGATTTGAAATCAGAGGATACAGGCAAATTTGTCACTTCTGATATGTGCTGGCACATACAACGCCCAATGTTTAATAGAAGGATAGGGCATGGACTCGGGATAATTTAATACGCCCGATGTTGCTAGCCGTGTGGGTTCGTACGTTCGTACGTTCAAGAGATCTCAAGGCGTTCTTGCGCCTTGCTCTGTTGTGTTGAAGGTTGGAAAAAAGTACACACAATTAATAGATATCATAATGCATTAGCTTTCACATCACGATTATAACAATGCCCTGTATTTATGTCGACGGGTGATGCGTCTTTCCTCTATCCGGCTTGGCTAGTTTACTGTGCCGCCGCCACAGTCGGGCACAGCCACTAGCCTTCCCCAAACTATCACATTGTCCTTCTTCTCACAATTCGCGTCTTTCAGATTCGAGGCTTCCATCATGATCTTCATTCCTTTTTCCCTATTATCAAATGGCACTCGCCCGCCAGCCTCATCTTCTCCCGTCCCCGCCCCGTATTCGTTCTCACTTCTTGGTATCTTCCCTGCATCCTTCAGCCTCATGTATCAATTGGACCTCAGTGATATTCTTATGCCGACATCTTTGGTTTCATCCGGATTTCAGGTTTATTTAAACCCTTTTGTCTGCCTCTTTCATTCTAACTATTTACACGAGGGTTTGTTTGTATGAGGTATTAAATTATCCAATCTGTTGCTCAGATGTCTGGTCAGGAAATGTCGCTACACTACTCCATACATGCAGTGGCTTAAGGATTGATCTTGGGCTTGAATATGAGGTAAGTTAAGATGCGAAAGGGCGGGATGCAAGAGGCTGGGATGGAAGAATGATTTCCGAGATTGGGTTCTGAGTTGAGTGAAGTAAGATTGGGTTCTGAGCTTACATTACTACATTATTTCGTGCAGTATACGAAGATGTTGTGGTGAGGCACATTATCTTGGATATATTTTGGGTTTGGGATGCTATTGACGTTGTACAAGGCATATTGAAGAATAGGCAGGAGAACATGAGAATACATGAGTCAGAGGTGTTAGTACCCTTTCTTTCACATCTTGTGGTTCAGAACGGAGTTTCAGTCGCAGCCTTGGGATCCTTCGACATGGTTGATATCCGGGGTACCTTGTATCCTCGCCCGGAAGGATTCCTTCTTTTTGTCTTCTAGAAGAAGGCCTGCCTCTTAGCTTATAACACATCATCACGGCAGAACACATATTTACATGTGAATGCTCGGTCATGGATCAATATAGCTACGATATGTGTATAATTTCCCTTTCAGTCACCGAGTACATCGTACGCCTCACAGAATACATATCATGTAGATACAAATCTACAACAGTCGTACCTCTATGATCTCATGCCCTCCTAGTGATTTTCCTCTTTCCTTTCCCCTCACCCTCGCCCGATGCCCATGTCCCAAAACTTCGTTCTATAAAGTCTACTGCGTAGCCCGTTCCACACTTTAATCGTTGCATTGTAAACGGTCATTCTTCAACCCATATCCATGAACCTTCAACAGATCAACTCCCTTTTCAGATAATGATATTCACTCAGCCCATTTCCGTACTATAATGCCCTCCCGCGAAACCAACTCCTCCCCCAACACCAACAACCCATCACAAACCTCCCCTAAAAACCACAACACCCCATATCAAACCGACTGGGTAACAATGACCGAAACAACAACATCAGAAGAAGGAGATATCAAATGTACCCCCGTATCAAAAGAAACAACCCCTACTTCTTCACCAGCAAGAAATGTCTCGGCAGATACTGTGTACGTACCTATGAATCCATCCATCCTTACAAATTCAAGGCACCACTACCACGTTCTAACATATCCCAGTACCTCTCATGAGATCCCAACACCCAACAGCGAAGCCTCATATGAAGCCTCAAATGAAGCCTCGCGCCACATTGGGCCAGAGGCAGAGACAGGGACAGGGTTCTCTCGCTACACACCGGACGCTGTGGAAAAGCCACCACGTTTCTTGGAGAGAAATGAATGCGGCTATGATATCGATATTGATAGCGACTTCGATATAAACATGGATATAGAAAACAACCCAGACGACGACGACGATGATGATGATGATGATGATGATGATGATGAATCTCATTACACATACACACACAAACCCAACTCATCCCTATCTCACCTGTCTCATCCATCTCACTCTTCTCCACTCTCCCACATACCCCGCACCCCTTATTCCCTCCACACCCCCGACCTCGTCTCGTTTTCTCCCGCCCTAGAAAATTGCGATGAGCACTTCAACAACTATTTCAAATACATCAAGTTCTTCGAGAATGATCTCACTATACCCCGGGAACCCGAAAAATCCAAACCCGACCCCCAATCTCGTGATACTTCAAATTCCGATGCTTCCATAAACGTCGAACATTCAGAGACAATGCATAAAAAACAGCAACAAAAACAGAACTCCATTCCTGAAAATGGAGGAAGCAAAACGACAGATTCTCGTACACGCATTCATATGGATGAGTCTTCCCAGCAGACTTCTTCTATTCTTCACATCTCGGGTTTAGATGAGGATTACGAACGAGATCCCCACCTTGATTTATATGCCGAGACGGACTTTGATACTTCTTCTGTATCTTCATCAGCGTCGTCAGAAGATAAAGTGGATGGATGTTAGAGGATCTTGAAGATTTGGTGGGGTGGGGGGTTGCCTGGGAGGGGTTAGTTGTGGCATGTATGAGATGAGATATAACGATATGATGTATTCTCGACAACCACAAACAAGGGAGATAAATGCATATTTAGCGATCAAACCACAATCTTCCTTTCAAAAGCATGGGAAGGCCGGGCGATGGGAGGGAAAACTGCAAAAAACATTGTGTATCAGATACTCTGGAATAAGGACCAACAGGACAGGGTCGGCTCGGCGTTATACATTTTGATAGTTTACGTATTGAATAACTACTTTAGGAGATTTCATCACCTTGGAAAATTGGAAATGAAAAATAATCACCACTGCTAGAGAGACTTATGCTTTACCCTCTGTATTCATGCTATCTATGATACCGTGTGGTCGTTCTTATGACTTGGTAATTAGTCTCCCAAAATTTCTACATCTCAGATATGTATGCTCGCTTGCATTCATTTGATATGTGCTCGCAAATCACTTAGCTTTTTATGTTGCTTGAAACGCACCAACTTGTGCAGTTGAAAAATGTACAATACCATATCCCTTACACCCTCTTAACTCCTTCCAACAGCAAATTTCTTTTCCCCGGGTATCCTCCACTCATAAGCTAACAAGCAAGCAACCGATCCATTGTGATAGTGTGTGTACCTTTCTTCTCGCACCTCTTATTTATTGATCGAGCTCAACGCTTGATTCTCTGCCGAAATATATACCTCCCTCACCATTAATACCAGGTGCCCTCTTCTTCATTACTTTGGCTGGAATATCTGACATATCGTCCATGATACTCTCTGCATCACTCTCCGCATCGCCATGACCATTTGAATAAACTTGACCAGACTCATCGAGGTCTGCACTTTCTTCTCTCAGCTCGCTATATCCCTCTTGCAATTCATGTTCTGGTGTAGCAGGAACTTGTAGTTCATCTGGGTCTTGCATTTCGGAATCTTCATCGGAGTCGACGGGAGAGTAGTTCTGAACAAAATCATTGAGGGGTATGTCTTCCGGCTTACGGCTGATGGAATTCTTGTTCTTCTTATTACCATTGGAGCCACTGCTGCCGAGATGAAATTGAGTAGATTGAGAAGTTTCATTGCTGGGATATTTATCGTTCAAATCGTACTGTGCATCAGCCATTTCAACATCCTCAGAATCTGAGTTGGAATCAGATTCTGGCTGGCGCTCTGGCTCATCTTCACTGCTCTCTTCGACAGTTTTCGTTCTGGCTGCCAGTTGACTCTTCTTCTTGTGCGTAACCTGCTTTGTCTTCGATCGTGGTTTCTGAGCATTTTCATCATCGTCTTCGTCTTCGTCTTCGTCCTCAGATCGAGGCTTCTGCGCACTGGTTGGTACACCATCATCGTTATCATTTTCGACGTCGCTATCCACTACCCTTTCAGTGCTCAATGCAAATGATTTGATTGGTTTCTTGACAGGAGCTGCACGTTTGGGCTTCTTTGCCGAATCAGGAACTTGAACAGAATCATTAAATTGCTCGCTCTCTTGGTTGCCGGCAGAATTGTGGTCTCCTTGTGATTCATTTGTCTTAAGCATACGATGTCTCATCTTGGCCTTGGAGCCACTACCACCCACATCGTAAAGCTCGGGATTGTTCTCAAATATGGCACTGGTTTTCGACTTCCTGGTTCTCTTCTTTAGACCGGTCGATTCAAAAGGCAAGTCAACATAACCTTCGGGTTCATGAGGTGCTGATTGCTCATATGCTTCGATGAGTAGCTGAACATTCTCTTGAAGAGTCTTATTAGCATGGGTTGTAATATTATGTACCAAGCCGCGAAGACAGATTCTCATTTCCATTGCATCGTGGTTTCGATCGAGCTTTTCGTCAATCGCTCTCCAATCAATCTTACTCTCCGCTCCTGCTTTACTATCGCGAATAGCTTTTAAAAACTGTAACTTCTCTCCAGCCAGAGTCTTGGTTGCTTCCTGATAACTTTTGAGGTTCTTCCAGCTGTTGCTGATTACAATACGTTCCGCGACAAGGTCATCTGTAGTAGCTCGTTCTCGATTTTTGATCGACTTCCACTTTCGATAGCACTGAAGATGACTCCTGGAAAGATCCATGAGCTCACTGACTTTCATCCAGCTTATATCGTGTTCGTGATAAGTATCGTCGTTTTCCTCCTCAGGTGTGAGCAGTCCCTCTCGACGTCTATCTTCACGAACGAGGTCGATACATTTTTTGACAGCATCTTTGAGCTGATGTTCCTCCTCAAGTTTCCAGGGACCAAGTTCTAAATTTGTGACAGATAGATAATTTCTCCAGCGATCACGACAATCATCAGGCAAACGATTGAGCCGAGCACCGATGAGAGACCACTTTTTGGGCATTGTCTTGAAGAGTTCCATCAATTCTTCATCTTGCTCGGGAGTCCAGACACCTCGTGCTGCATAGTTGTGAAAGTTTCTCCTGCACCAACTCTGGAGGTTTCGCTTGGCAACATCAGGTACTTCCTCTGTCATGAAATCCCAAAATTTCTTTCCATCATTGAGAGCATTGTTCTGAATGATGGTATTGAGAGCATGCTGTTCCAAGTCATTGTCGACACGATACAACTCCACGGCGTCTGCGATCCTCCTTGTCTCGTCTTCATTGAGTCTTCCATTCCCGTCCCTTGGTCTCGTAACAGATTGACTTCTGCTGCGTTTTGGCTTAGCTCCGCTCGAAGGATCTTTTTTGGCCTTGGTGGATTTTTTGTTGGTCGATTTTTCGGCTGTTGCTTGTTTTTGCTTTGATTTTTTGCCCGATTTTGGTGTGTCCATTGCCACTAGAGAAGGCTCATCAACAGGCAAATACCTCTTTCGACGAGTGGTTGATGTATCCACTGACCGTTCCTCATACTCCGAACTATCATCCGAGGAGTCTTGAGCATTCCCGGCAGATGCTGATCTTCTGTCAGAAGCGGTCCAGCCGGCCATCTCTTCATTTCCAGAACGACTTGTTCTTACAGCAGGTGATGAAATAACCACATCAACATTCGATGCAGGCTGTCTTGTCTTTTGCTTAGTTTTTGATGCAGTCACAGTGGAACCTCCATGTTGAGCATCGTCCGAAAACATTGAGCGAATGTCACCATTTCTGGGATCTGGATCAATTTGTTTTCTTTTCTTCGATTGGTGCTCAACTTGTTCATCAACAGCTGGCCTCTTCCCAAGAGCCTTTGCAGACGGAACAGCTGGTTCTGATTCCAAGCGACGATTCTTGCCGGCAGAGATGAATTGATTCAGTAGGGCAGCCGAGTTTGCATCGCCAGCTTCCGCTCGGTTGACTTTCGGAGTCTTTGGTTTAGCGACAGATTTTTTGGCCTTTGACTTTGAGGGTATAGATTTGTCAGAAGTATGGCTTTTATTGCCCAGCACCTGAGTAACATTTTCCTCAATGTTTTCTTGTGATTGATCTCTCTTGCTAGTATTCGACTTCGAAAGGTAAGATTCGTCTCCAAAATGGTTGTTCAAAGCATCTCCTAAAGAGACTTCGTCGATTAAGATCGGAATTCGATTTCGATCGCGAGCTTCCTCATTCCCTTGCGCAACTTCTGATGCAACTGTCTTCTCCATCTTTGACTTTTTCTTTTTCTTCGATTTTTCGTTGGCATGGGTCAAGTCCCCTCCGGCTTTAGTCTCTATTTGTTGGAGAATTTCCTCTTCACCTAGTGGTGCCGAATGTAATGTGCTGGATCTGTGGTTCTTGCGACGGTTTTTCTTTTTCAACGCCGAATCGGTGGTTGTCATCTCGACTTCAGATTCTTGATGTTTTGTATCTTCCAATTGTGCTGCGTCAACTGGCTCATTTGAGACATAGTCTTCGTAGATAATCTGCGATTCTCCTTGTTGAGACTTCCGATGCTTGCGCTTTTGTTGCGATTTTGATTGTATAGTGTTGCCCAACTCAGTCAATTCTTCTGTACCAAGCTCTGGCTGGTCAATTTGCCCAGATGGGTAAGCTTCTGAGCTTGCCTCTTGTCTATCTGCATCCTCGGTATGAGCATTATGATTTAACTTTTGTCGTCTTCGCTTTTCCTTTTTCGCGCTCAATTCCGAGGCTGGTGTAGGTGAAGTAGTTGTATTCCGTTCTGACGCGCCGACTTCTTCTGAGCTTTCTTGAATGCCAGCAATCTGATATTCTCTCTGTAGAACACTTGCTGATCCACCCATACTCTTATTCTTATTCTTCTTCTTCTTATCTTTCTTGTGCTTCTTCGTGCTGGTACCAATGTGGTCATCTATGCTACCAAATTGGTCACTTGCAGGTTCTCGAGAATTGTCCATGATTAGATCTCTGTTCAGGAGAGATAGAGTTGTTTCGGATTCTGAATTAGGAGGTGACAATCAGTCCTCTACACCAAAACAAATATGTCAAGGACAATTGGGGAGATGTGCAACAATCTCAGGTCTCTCAAAAGCAAATAATAAAAAAGTTTGATCTACCTTGAATTATCTTATCAGTTTGATCACTTATCGGATCCTCTTCTAAATTCTCGGGTTCCAACTGTGAGGAGAATAATCCTTTGGCCCAACTTAACATGCTTTGCGATTCATATTACTTTGGATCGTTTCTGTGAACTTTGATGAGGGAATCGTCAATGAAAGTTGGTAGAAAGGAGGGGTCGTGTCTGAAGAATTGACTTGAATCAACTTTGGCGCGTAGAGTTATTATTGATTTACTCAGTAACGTTAATGATTTTATTTTTTGGGAACTCGGATCTAGCGGCCGCTAGAATAGTAAGGATCTGGTATCTAAAGCTTCAGCTCGGACCTATTTGTGTGTTTGTGCAGGCTGATTAGTCAGTCAGGTCGGTTAAGCCTCGGATCTCCTGGCAAAGATTGAGACCCAGACTGTGTGTACAGTGTAAAACAAGATACTCAAGATCTCTTATATAGATGTGACATGCAATATGTTGGTACTTCGAGAAACTTGACAGCTCCTGCCCATACCATTCATACGCAATCAAGCGCTCATATTCGCGATGCTGGTGGATTGAGCAGATAACAAGAGCAAGCAAACAAATGCATCCATCCTATGTTCACTCAATTACATGTCAACTCCCAATACAAACAAGATATCATGATCAAAGAACCAAGACAAGAATGCATTTCGGGTGTTGTTCATGAGGTATTGGTGGAAGGTCGACAAAACACGAATCTCAAAGAACTCCAGTTGGTATTATAAGCCATGTCCCTTGATGTATGGAATCACTTTGGAAAAGCCACACAGACTGCTTCTTGTGTGCCTCTGTTACTTATTACTTCCTAGCTCAAATGCACACTCCAGATTGTTTGGTTAGAAAAGTGTTTTGTTCTTGTTGCCAAGTTGTGCAAGTACATTGGTGTCATGTTCTTGCTGCGGGGTAGGTAACACTCTCACCAATATGTTTAGTTCATGCAGATTAGGACGAGTCTTTAACACCTTTTCATCAAACATTGTCCCTTCTTTTTTTACACATTTCCACGTTCTTTCAGTTCGCTCTTTTCATTCATGCATTAAGGGATCCTTCAGGATGGCTTCCTTTTCTCGCTGGACCGATCTATCAGATCAACTTCATTCAACTCTTCCAGCCTTTGACGAACTGATTAACAAAGATTCTCAATATAATGCTTTTGTAAAGACCCCGGCCATTCTTCCCCAAATAACCTTTGGAATTGGTGCATCGGCCTCAAACAACATTATAATTATTGCCATAGATAACGGTAAATGTCACGCGAGAGTTGGTACGGCCCAGGAGGCTTCATTCATACTATTAGCATCGCTTAGACATTGGGAGCAATTCTTTCACCCGATCCCAGTTGCTCCCTTTCAAAGCTATTGGGGTATGTTTGGAATGAACATTAAGCAAAAAGGCATTGAGATTCAAGGAGATCAAACATCTTTTACTCAGCATACGCATATCTGGAGACGAGTTCTTGAAGTGCTTCATGACGCATATTGCGGGCCGATGGAATTAGATGAAGAGCCTGAAGTTGATGAGGATTATGTCACTGGTCGTTATGTATACTTGACCATCCCAACATGGGGAAAGTGCAAGGTTTTCTATGAACAAAGCGGTTCTGGGAAACAAGACATAGTTTTTCTCCATACCGCCGGTGCAGATGGTCGACAATATCATGGGGTTATGAATCATGCTGCCATGCGTGAGAAGTGCAATATGATAGCTTTTGATCTACCGGGCCATGGGAAGAGTTATCCTCCTCCAAATCACTGGTAAGTAAGTGCACATGGTAATCTGAAATATACTTTCTGTTGTTGGGAATATTAGAGGTCCTATCATAAATTTTTGACTTTCATACAGCACCACAAGTTTGACGTTACTCTACAATCGAACAACATGGAAAAATTACTGACACAAAATCCGCTAGTCCCGGTGATTATACAAATACCGAAGACAGTTATGTCGGTGCTATAACCGCAATAGTCAAAAAACTGAAATTGAACAGACCCATTATATGCGGAGCATCCATGGCTGGACAAGTATGTTTAGCTGTAGCAACTAGAGCTGACGAAGTTGGTGCCGGCGGGACAATTCCACTACAAGGGTGAGATTTTCATCCACACAATAATGGCATTACTAACAGCCACAGCTGCGAGTATCTTAACATGGATCGACAATTCAACGACCAGTCACCCTATGTTAATCAGTCACTCTTCAACCCAGAATGGGTTTACGGCGTAATGATATAGCCTACCCATTCGCCGAATCCAAAGCTAAAACCCACCCACAGATGATGTCACCAACCACCCCTCTCGCCAACAAACAACTCATTTGGCACATGTATAGCGCATCCGCCTACGGAATATTCCACGGGGATCTCGACTTCTACTTCGGCGGTTTCGACGGCCGCACCAGAGTCACCAGCATTGATACCAAAAAATGTCCAGTATTCATGCTGACTGGCGAATATGATTGGAGCAATACACCTGCTGTGTCTCAAGCAACTTGTGATAAGATTCCGGGGGCGAGACATAAGGCTATGCCTGGCATTGGACATTTCCCGGCGACGGAGAAGCCGCAGAAATTTGTACCACATCTCTTGGAGGCGATCGATTGGATTCGTCATATGAGAATGCAGGATGGGGTGGGGGATGTGGAGCGAGATGTTTGAGTGGTGATTGAAACGGGCAAGGGGAGCGGTTGATAGAGGAAGAAGATTGTATGCGTGGGTTTGAGTTGCTCATTCAACATGGCGCGGAGGAAGTATATGTTTATTCCAAAATGTATCCTAATGAATACAAAACTTCGTAGCAGTCTTGTTTAAGTTCATCTTTCTTTCTTATTCTCTTAACTTGCAGTGTTTATGCAAAAAAAAGTATCTTGATAAAACAAGGAGACGCTTCTGCATCTCAATTATAGATCTTCCTTGGACTTATACAGACAATATTATATACTGTCTCTATTTCCCCCAAACTCTCACACACATTACAAAAAATCCTTCTAAGAACTCTTCTGCCAGCTTTTCCAAACCGATTCATTAAGTCTCATAGCTCATTCTCTATTCTACCACTCTATGATCCATCGCAACGCTAAGGCAGGTGAAGAAGATATTACGTCTTAAGTTGCGCAGACAGTATTGGGGTCCATATATGAAGTTCAAATATTCAAACTATCAGTTCTCGCGAGAATCGTTCACATCGGATATATGCAGAATGAGGAATTAGATCTACGCTATCTAAATATTGCCATTTAATATCAATAGCCTAGCTATTTTGATTCCACTCCCTCCCTTCTAAATATACAAAAATCTCACAATCATACATAAATACATCCACTAACCCTTCCCACCATCCTTTCCTCCCACTCCCAGTCCCACAATCTACTTATCCTCCCCATCACCACCATCTTCCTCCGGTTTTTCTTCCAACACCACCTCCGTAACCTTTGTACCCCTCTTCTCCCCATCACTCATCGTAATCTTATACTTCCCACCGAGCACCAAATCCTTCGCCACAATCTCTCTCGTTCTGCCCAAGCTCTCAATATCGTTGATCCTCTGCAACGTCGCTTCGAGATGTTGTTCGAATCCCTCTTCGGCGCAGATACTGCGGAAAGCTTGTTGCATGGGCACGGAATCCGCGCGCACCATCGCTTTCGAGGTAATGGTGAAGAGATTCACGTGATCGTATTGCTGGATGAAATCTGCGCGCGTCATAATCTGGCGGGCTTTGTGGAGGGGGATCTCAGGAATGTTGTGCGAGCCGTCGTCGATGTAGGTGGGGGTGTCTTTTTCGGCGGCGACGAGCGCTTGTGCTAGGACCATGGCTGCGGACTGGGGGGTGTGAGTGTGAGGGAGGGAAGAGGGGGGAAGATACTTACAGCGTATTTTTGTTGGTCCATTACGTCGTCGTCCATTTCCATGCCGAGGATCCAACATTGGTTGAGGAACCAGCGGCGTTCGGTGTCGATGATGTTGTTGCATGTTTCGAGCATATCAGAAGATTTGGCAACTCGGTTCAAGAATGTTAGACGGCCGCCTACACGGTTGTAAACCTCATTTAGTATTTCAGTCGAAGGCGTTTCGGCATAGTATTTCTGGCGATATCTTTGGAGTGCAGACACGGCTAGGCTGCGGGGAAGATCTGGAATCGTGGTAACTTCCATACGGGTCGCTAGCAACTTTAATCTTTCGTAAACCCAATAGTCATCGCTGTTGAAAACCATAGTGACTAAGTTGGAAGCGGCCCATTGCTCAGCACGTTGTTGTAACAGCTCGAGAAGGTCTTTGCCATTCTCGTCGTCTCGGAGAAGGTGTATCGCATTTATAATGACAATCTGAGATCGTAAGTATTGAAACATTACTCAGAACATGCCCTGGCCAGTAATATCTGAGATGAAAGAAGATGCATCACTCACCAAAGGTCCACGACCAGTACTCCGTCTCTTCAATGCAACTTTCTCCAATTTGTTCATCGCTCTCTCAATATCCAACAAAGCTGTGCTATCTCTTGGTCCTCGTTCGGAGAAGTATGATCCAATGTAATCTTCATTGAACTCAAAATTGAGAGCTTTTCCCAAACGTACTCTGAAAATCTCAGGGTCCGCATGTGCTTCAAACATACTAACTCCTTCACCATCAATTTTCTGCATGGCCTCAAGCAACATACTGGATTTGCCCACACCCTTTTCTCCGATCAATAGATGATAGTGTCCACGATCTTCTCCGTGTACTATCTTGTCAATTTTCTCTTGCTCTGCACGGTGGATCCTATGTTTAATCGAGGTCAGTAATGCCTACTAAGTCAAGCACAAATCTTGGCAGAAAATGAAGAACAAAAACTAAATCCAGAAAAAGAGAAGTTTAAGAAAATGGGAAGATGTGGTTCCATGTAAAGAATAGGAATGGGTGTTAAAAGCAGCAAAACTTGTGTACGAACCAATGTTCATCATCGTCAGCTGCATACCTCTTTGGCATCTGTTTCGTAGTTGCGGCAAGGTCTAGAACTGGATCACCCGGCTTGAAGGCAATTTCCATCTTATGAATAACCATCCATTTGTAGAACCTATGATAGAGATAACCACCTAAGGCAAATCCTGTTCCAAGTACAATGATAGATGCAAAGGCTGTCAATGCAGCGTCGAGCATTTTGGTCTTCGCATTGAAAGGTTCATCATGTGACGAGTAATCCTTTCGACCATTCCGATATTGATTGTGGGATGATTCATTCTCGGAATTGCCTGTGTATACTGTCAGATTGATATCTCCGAGAATAGTTGTAAATAAAAGCAAGAAGTAAACGATGTTAGGAGCACGTGGGTTTCACGTGTGAAGAGATGGTAATATGCACTATAAGTGCTAGCTTTTAGATGTGCATCTCTGCCATCTATCTAGATCGGCATCATCCGATTAATCTATCTGAGGCATTTCACATAGCTTATACAATGTTGATAGCTATGGGTTATAGATCAACTGAGACATCCCCATTGAAAACCCAGCTTCCGATGAAAAGGAGCGAGTCAGACAAGTAATTGAATGCCAAGCAATACAGGGCAAGGACGGAGAATTGAAAAAAGGGACAAACTCACGTTTTCCTGAATTGAAACCATTTGAATTATGTTCTGAAGCCGTTTCTGTCGAGAGACATCGTAGTTGTGATTGTGTGATGATGGGTTTCCGTGTTTGTAACCCACAGCGCGTTGTAGAGGCGCGTATGGTTCTTTGGACCACGGCTCTTTGAATGGCTGAAGGTTGCATCGCTAATCTTTCCCTTTCCCCTTTTCTTTCTCTAGCTTAGGGCGGATGTATGTATGAGAAACCTGAAGTGGAAAAGAGGTGTCAAGGAAATTGTGTCGATTGGATATAATTATCGGAAATCATTTCGGTGTACTTTTGTTTTTGGTTGTTGTGTTTGTTGTTTAGTAGGGGTTTTGGGTTTTGGTGAATATGGTCAAAGTTCGATGTTCGTTCGTAATGTTCTTGGCGGCGTGAGAGCTTGAGCTATGGTAAATTAAAGATTACGACCAAAGTTGTGATTGCGTTCTGAAACAAGTGATATTCACGGGAGTACTAGGGACTTGGGATTCATCTCGACTTGAGATCTCTCAGGTTCATGCCAGTACAGCGGAACTGATTTTGCCTGGGCTCCTGGATTCCTATAATTAGATCCCAAAGTAAACAGAATCCTGCTAGGTAGCTCATTCTTTTTTGGCAAGAAGCAGAATCCTGTGTGATGAAGTGACAAGGTTAGCAAGCATAGCGAATTACAATCTAGCAATCATCTCCAAATCTGCTTCTTGTCACGGGACACCGTCGGATCACTGCAGCTGTCAATACAAGTTCGGATTCAATTATGATATTCTGCTCGCTGCAAACATTCTGGTGTGACTTTGTTGCCGTCTGCTTGTACAGAATCTCCACGACTTGTAACGTCCATCTGCTCCCAGGTCCTCGAGAGGGTTAACTCTGCAGAGTCTAAAAAGAGCTCCGAGTGCAGAAACATAATCAAATGGAGCTACATGACGGCCGAGATCTAATAATATATGAACAATAATAACAAAACTCATGGGGATGCTGATCCTTGCCTGGTAATAGACACAACCAAAGTTAGGCCCAATTTTTCCTGTACGGTGACCCTTCATTACCTTCCTTACCAGGGCACAAAATTGACCACTTACAACACCATGGTAAAATCCTCAAATCTTTAATCACACAACCATCTAGCACCGAACATTGTCTACGGGGCAATTGATCTTCAGAGAACTACACATACACCTGTAAACATCATGAGTACCTCACACAGCTTCCTTCTACATGCTTCTAGAAAAGAACACTCGCATTACTAGTGACGGCAATTAACATTCTAGACATCATCTTTCCTGCATGTATCCTAAGGTCCTTTCCTCTTTCGGCCAAAATGATTCTCGAGCTGTACCCACCTAGCCCTACATCGTCGACTGTCCAAATCCATGTGGTATTATGATGGGTGAAGAAGTTCTGACTTGAGAGCTAATATTTCCGATGCAAGATGTGCGGGATACCCGTCATACTCGACCACTTCCATAACCAATATATTGACTGCTTCTGCCTTCGAACCATGCATGAACAATGTTGGGGAGTAAATAATCTTCGTTGGGATACTTTTGAACGACTTGAAGCTGCACGCCAGAATGCAAAACCATGTGAAATATGCAGCCAATGCCATATATGGGCACGCTCTGGCTTTGTACAACCCAAAATCCCTTGGAACTGACCGTTATTCAGCTGCCAGAACCGATAAAGCGATGCTGTAAGAATTTCGACCAGGAATCATTATTGAGCATGGGTCTCTCAAAGCAGCGGATCATGGGCACATATATGATCTATTGCTTTCCGTTCTAGTCAGACGGATGGTGGTTAGGATGGTATAACTCTTCCGACCCCAAGTACCAGTTAGAATCTTCCATCATATGTCAAATTCTCCGTCCCCGGATCATCTACTAGCTAGGATACCTTGCTGTTCCCCGTTTGCCATGCGGATGCCAACATCAAATGTGGGTGCCGAGTCAACGACGAGTGTCAATATTTAGTTATCAAGAAAGCAGATGATAGCTAAATATCCAATACAAATCCTCTTTCAAATATCATCATTAAGAGTCTCTCTCAAACATTTGCTACTTGCATCAAATCTCCCCAGACTATTATTGGTATACAGTTGGAGGGTTTCAACAATACTGCTGTGTCGTCTGATGTATACTTGCTGGATGACAATTTGGAGAGTTTATACAGATTACCTATGTATCAAGAGTTGAAGAGAAGAAGAAAAGAGGATCTGTAGCTTTTCTTCTAAAGTATATTCAGTAGAGCTTTTCAGATCTTTCGTCTTGTCATTGGCGTTTTCATTCCTGGAAATATTCAATTAGAAAATTCATTCATTATCACGTATTTCGTTCATTGATTGGAGGAATCTTAAAAGCTTTTATCTCAAAGATATGGCGAGAAAGTCGTTCTCGAGTGGTTCCTGGCAGGATGGGGTCTCATCCACTAGGTCTTCCTTATCTTCAACTTCAAGCGATCCGACCGATAACTTTCCCATCACCACCACCATTGATAAACACGCAGATCAAGTTCCTTGGATCATCAGCCATGTATTAGAGTGCCATCTATCCTCTGAACTTCCTTTGAAAATAATGTTTTCCTTTAATGCGGGTATGTGAACACTTGTTCAAGCTTCTTCTCTCTTCCCGTTATTGGCCAATGTTGGGCCGCACTCCGACATGGTTTCTAAAAACAAAAGCTGACTTGATTTAAAAAAATTAGGGCATCGGGTGCCAAAATTAAAGGAAGCGCACAAGTGGTGGCAGTACGAACCAAAAGGAACAGCTATTATACACTTCTTGATCTCATTGGAAAAATCAAAGCCAGGGAATAAGGAAGACCCAACCAGCAAACCTGGAAACGTTAAGCAGGATAAAATCAGTGAAGCTGAAGATACTCAAGAGGACAAATCCAGCGAGCCCCAAGATGCTAAGGATGAAAACATTAAATCAACAATTCGAAACCATGCTGCTTATGATCCCTTTATGGATGCTTCAAATGAAACTCTTCTTGATATCAACTTTGAATCGGAGTTTCCAGGGGGCAGACGGGCAAGTAGAGGACTGCCACCTGATTTCATCAGAAAGTGGTGCTTGGATAAAGTATTTACAAAGGATCAAGATCAGGTGGATTTTGATCAGGCTCTCACTGGCATTGACTATCTCCAAGATCTTGAATGTCGAAGACGAGAGGCTCTTAGGGAAGTTGCTTTGCGTTTGAAGATTAACAAGCACAATTGGAGAAGAGTTCTGAGTGCTGACCCTGATGCTAAAAGTTGGGTGGAAGATATTCAAGCTCAAGAGACAATCATCGAAGGCTTCTATGCCACTTGCTTCGTTGATCTACGAATCTGGGTATGCAAATATGCTTCTTCAAGACCATTGGTCATGCTGACCCTTCATTTGATAGACAATGCTCCATGAACTTAAAGCTCATCCCTTTTACAAGCCGAATGCTCTCGCCATGCTTAATACCTTATATCCACCATGCATTCGAGATCTTCCGAATGATCGCATTGATCGCGACAAATTACGAAAGCATCGAGCCAAGTTCTATAATCTCATCATCCAGGTGACGTGCGAAGGTATCGAAGCTTTGAGAGAGTTTGAAGCACTTTTAAAGAACCCTGCATGCAAGCATAATTGGGTTGATACTCGAGAGAACTTGAGAGATTACATTGAGCTAGCCAGTAAGATGATCGAGCAATCTAACGCTATACACGACATTATGTTCTTCAAGAGAAGCGCTGCAATAGCATACAGTATACGGTCTGCACGCTCAAGAAGCACAACCGCATCCTCATCTAAATCAGCTCGCACTGAACGCCAAAGCGATCAAAAAGAAAAACCAGTCACAGTAAAGAATACTGTTTTCGATTCAGAAAAGCCAGCCCCCCAGCATCATTCACAGAGCACAACGGAGAACAGGAACAGCAAAGAAGATACATCATACCCAGCCACCTCAAACTCAACAAATGAGCCTCAAAAATCTGATAGAGCTGAGGCAAAAGTACACAGCCGAAAACGGTTGGCATCTCCAAAACGTCAACACGAATACCGTGAAGAATATCACACCATACCAATGAATGCACCAAGAACGCCCCGTTCAGTAGTGACAACCCCTAAAATTCCGGACGCGCAAAGTTTCTCAAGCTCAAGGTCATCAAATGGAGATGGGAAAGAATCGGTGCGCAACCAGCAACGCATACTTCGATTAAACACACCGTTCATAGAACAATTCTCCGAAGCGGCACATCATAACAGTTTCCAATCTTGGGTCCCATTGAAAGATGAACAAAATATGTCGCCGTTCCGTCTGACAGCATTTCCTGATCCGTGGTCAAGAGGTCCTCCTAAACCAAAGTATCAGCTTCGTCCACAAAAGGTATCTGAAGATGAAAAACTTCTGCGAGTCTTGTGCCGGCCAGAAGCTCCAATGGAAAGAAGAGCATCATTTCCAAATGGAGTTTCAAGTTCATCCTCACGAGCAAGGACTTCGAGTGTTGCTTCCACCAAAGTAAAATCTCGCAGAATGTACAAAGACAGCGGTGCGACTTCATTTGAAACTTTGCGGGCTGGCTCTTCAACACACATTTCACAACACGGCTCTTCGACTGGGTTCGATCCGATGAAGCAAGTTGAGCATGCCTTGAAAAGTAATTCAAATGCAATCAAAGCTTATCAAGCCTTGGATTTACGAGAGCTGCCCGGGTATCCTTCAGCTCCGAAACCTATCATTCCAGAAAACACCCAAAGACCTCTACTCCATACACAGAAATCGTGCGGCACTTCCGGTAGCATTAGGAGCCGGGCCTTGAGTGGCGCATCTTCAATGGCTGTTTCTTCACTAACCTCGCAGCAGGTTACCCCAGTCATAGGCGCTTCTCGAAACCTTCAACTGCGTAAAACACCATTGTGCGATTTTACTACAGATCTGGAGTTAGAGTCACACCATGCCAACCGCGACCATACGTTTCCCTTACCTCAAACTGCTGCAGCGATCACGAAGCCCAGAATTAAGCTTCGTAAAACGCCGCTACATGATGCTGCCAATGCGGAGATGCAAGCCCCAAGTCCACTCCCATCAATCTCAAAGTCGCCTTTATCAATGAGACAAGAAAGTCCTATCACACCAACCCCTGGAACTCAACTTCATAGAACTGCTTTGCATAGTTCTTCCGTTGAAGTCCAAACACAAAAGACATCTCTGTCCGGCTCAAAATCACCTATACCCTCACCATTGTATTCTGATTCATCATCCCCGCGTATGGAAACTCGACAAAAATCAAAGAAACTCATGAAGTCGAGGCCTTATAATGATCTTCAATGCGAAGTAATGGCAGACCATACGACCAAGAACATGACTTTCGTTATGGGGGAAAATCTGATAGATGCAGTTGTTGGAGACACCAATCTACCAAAAATGTCTCCAAGTGCCAATCTTTCATTCTTGGCTAGTCCATATGAGCCTTCTGCAGTGTTTCAACCCAGATTGAGGAAGAAGAGTAGTATGGCAACCATAATTTGTAGGAAGTCTATTGAGAGTTTAAAGTCGGTCAGATTTGAAGACACCGAAAATTGCCCTGAAAACACAACTCCGAAAACTCCTAGAAAATCATCTGAACGTTTAAAGACCCCGAGGAAATCATCTGAAAGTTCTAAATCTACTGATATCAAGAGCGGTGATAATGCACTTGGTATTTCGATGCCGAATGCGCATTCAACTACTGCCTTTTCTCATTTACCCCCTATTGATTCAATAGATCCTTGCGTGGATTTTCCACCACCGTCATTGCCTAAGCAGATATTGAAAAAGCAGAAGAGTCTGGGTTTATTTCCTCGTAGAGGAGGCGAACCATCAAATTATGCCGTGGATTTTCCAGAGCGAGCAGCACTGAAGAAGCAAAAGAGTTTGGGTCTATTTCCTCGCAGAGATTGCGGAAAAGAGAAAGATAAATCTATGCAATCGGCTCCGGCATCTAAGTCTCAAGATATGGGAGGCATATTCGATGGTTCACAGCAAAACTGCACGGCATATTCGGCCCATACAGCCATTGCTTGCAGAGAGCCATACAGATTTCCCGTCCCGCCTAATAGACTTCCTATTAATCAGGATGACGACTCTCAATCATTCCACTCTCCTGCTGAAGCAGTCAAAACCCCAACTATAAATGACTCTTCCATAGAATCGAAACCGGTGGTCCGAATCAACACAGCTAGAAAGTCTTCCGCAATATCAAACCCAAGTCCTATCTCTCCCGCAAACAAAGTATACGGATTCATTCCTCCACCCCTCAAAAAGCAAATGAGTTTTGGCGGCTGGGAAACTGATCTTGATATTGCGTTGGAACATGAACATCATCTCAAGCTCAAATATGCAAAGGCACAAGTCGCATCTCAACAAATTGCGAAACAAAGAGTTTCTCCTATTGATACGATTTTGTCTAATGATTCTAATGAGTCAAATCCCCTGCAACTCAAAAAAACATCAAAGCTTTCAAAGACGACATCGTTTGCGGATGATGAGGAACAGATTTTACAACACCCGACGACACCGAGCTCTGGGAAGTTGGGCAAGCTTTTCATGAATGCGGGAGCGAATATCAGTGCGATATTTGTTGGAAAGAGTGCCACGACTCCTAATTTGCACGATCTGCAGGGTCAATCGCCTAAGGTACCTGTTTCTATACTTTCTAAGAAAGAGGGAAAGGATAAATCTGTATCTGGTAAGGATGGGACAATTGAAAAGCAACATAGAACTGGTAGTAAGTAATTTCCCTTTTTTCCCCATTATGTATGAGGAGTATATACTGACAATTCTCCTCTTCAAATAGCTTTAGCCACCCTATTCAACAGTATTAATCCCTCCCGCATCTTTAGCAAACGCTCTCACCACAACAGACCTTCTCTATCTCATAAACATAAATTAGTCAGCTATCGTCGTCGCGAACAACTTCTTCGAAAGCACTTTAGACTTAAAGCGCACACACTGCAACGATACAAAAAGCAAATGGTACTAGAAGATAGTCAGGGGATACTTTATGCGGAGGGAATCAAATGGTTAGATAGATATAAACCATTTGTTCGAGAAAGTCCAGAAGTTTATAGGAGGAAAGAATGGATGAGGTCTTGGTTACTGGAAGGCGCGAGGACGGAGAAAGAGGGATTGGGGAAGGTGTCTGGAGCTCCATTCTTGAGGGATGCTAGTGTGAGGGTGGGAGTTAAGAAGGGCGGGAGAGATACGAGAAGAAGAGTGTTTGAGGGGTTTGTGGCGAGGGATGTGAGAGGTGTGAGGGGGAGAAGGGATCAGGAGAGCGGGGTAGAGAGGATATTGGAGAAGATCGATTGGAGGAAGGAAGGGTGGTTTGAGGAACCGAGGGCCAGGAGAGTGAGGAATGGGAAGAAGGGTGAGAATGGGCAGGTGGCGAAGATGGGTGAGAGGAAAAAGCATGTTATGATTAGTACGGAAAAATATGATCGGTATTGATAGGATGGGATGAAAGGAATGGGAATGGGAAATTAGCTGGGTATGAAGGATTGGAATTAGGATAAGGAACGGAATTGGAGATCGAACTCTCTGTGAGATATTTCTAGATATCGGGGATTGGGAATAGTGTTTATTGGTGGTTATGTACTGGATTTTAGTATCGGGGTTTATATGAATAAGACGGTAGTCATGATTGTTGCAGGAGAGGAGAAGATATGAGGGATAGGAAGATGGTCGGAGATGAGAGTGAGATGTGTGTTGATTAGTGTATGTATTTTAGTGTGTTATATTAATGGAATTGGAATGAATATCAGATGATAGTATGTCGTAGTGGAAGATGAGAGCTGTTCCAGTATCGACGACGTTAGAGATAAGGGATGGAGTATCATATTGATGCGATCAAGTTCAGCCGTAGGGGAGCTGGGGAGAGCAGGATAGTGATAGTTTGATAGACGCGCACGATTCAGAAGGTTGAGAAAGATGGAACGCTGTGGAATATACGTATGAAAATGTGAGTTGAATTGGTATACCTAGTATTTATACTCAAGTAAGAAGGTGTGGTTATTTCAATAACTCTGAATATTGAAAACGAATAGGAGGTTGGTCTATATCTGATAAAGACTGCCACAGCTCTCACTGTTAAGTTATTGGCTACACACTCTTCTTTTGCGATAAATGTATTTCTTGACAGTATGATAGGAATGCCGAAGGTATTCGTTCAGAGAATGCGGGATCTCCTTCTAATTTTGCATCTATAAGACCTGATATCTAATGCGAAAAAGTCTATTCTAGTTACATAACCCCCCTCCGAGAACCACGGAATCTGCATTCAAGATTCTCTTATCCAGATATAAATATCTATACAAAACATCACAATCCATACGTATCATCCAATTCCTGCATTCCCGCCCCATCATCCCTTTCCTTATAATAAACCTCAAGAACCTCATCCAAACCCTCCCCCACCTTCTTCGCCCTCGGCACCCATCCCAATACCTCCCTCGCCCTCGTACATCTCACCTGCATATTAACACTGAACAAATACGCTGTGAGCGTCCCTACCACTTTGACCGCTTCCGAGAATGGGAGTTCCTTGATCTGTGTATCGTGCACCAATTTATATGGTGAGTTTGACATCTTGGAGATGAGAAGAGTCATGTATTCTCCAAAAGTAAGATCTTCCGATGCAGCGAAATAGAAGGCCTCAGGACCCCATTTTCGAGGATCGGGAGATGGGTCGGTGAGGGCGGAGGAGAGGAGAGAGAGGTAGATTTGAGCAAGATCGAGAACGTGGATGTGGGATTGGAGATTTGTGATGGGGGTGATAGCGAAGCCGGATTGAGTGGTTGTGATTGCGGAGAGGAGGGGAGGAAGAGAGATGGGAGTTGGGTGGAGGGGAGAGGGGGAGAGGCCGTGGACGACGGTGGGGGAGACGATGGCTATGTTTGTGGATGGGGATGCGGCGAACACGAGCTAGGGGTGTGTTAGTGTTGTGGGGAAAGGAGGGCAATGTAAGGAACATACAGCGTTGCTAGTAGCGTGGAGTGCGGTGGGTGGGAAAGATTTCAACGCTTGGATATCGAGTACGTCGTCGAAGATCTTTGGTTCGATTTGAGAACTACCGGGCGAATCCCAGAGGAGCGACCCGCCGGCAGTATGGATATAATATGCTTTTGGGGAGTGGTTGGCTGACCCTTCAAGGATAGCTGAGATAGCTACATCTTGCTTGACGTCGGGACCCGTATCTGTGATGAAGTTTAGTGAACTATCTTGGGTAATGTTGGATGGGAGATGTAGATAAGGATGAAGCTTTGGAAAGGGTATCCAAATTCAACAGTCAGAAATTGACCAAGACCAAAGGCAACTTTGATCTCAGCTCTTACTACATGAGACAAAGGTTTTTCATGCACAGCATTACTGAATATCATGACACTCTTTTCCCCGATGTGAATAAGAGAGGGGTTGGATCCAGGTACCCGTTCATTCTCTCGCGATAAGCGACAATAGGAGGGAGCGTTTCACTCCAACAAATCTGGTAGACCAAGTCCACGGTCACTCACTGATAATAACATCCGCTTCTTTCGCCTCTCTAGTCAAGAGATCCAAACATGTCAAATCCCCAACAACAAAAGTTACTCTCGGGTACTTGCCCACAAGTATTTTGCCTTTCTTCTCATCTCGTACCAATGCTTTAATGTGGATATCTGGATACTTCGGGTAGACGAGATCTAACACAGCGCCACCGATGTGACCTGTTGCTCCGATACTATAGTGAGGAAATTAGCAGACTGACTCGACAAAACCAAAGTTCTATTCGTATAACACATTCCGGATAAACTATGAGAGAGAACCAGGCTCAACAGAACGTACATGAATATTTTCGACATGTTTGATTTATTCGGTAATGGTATGACCCCGGGTTATTTTCTCAACAAGTGATACAAAGGACAAATAGTATCAGATTTCAATGTGTTTTCCGAGGAAAAAATGTTGTGGAATTAAAATTGGTATACATAATGTTATTAACACGTCTATATAAGGCAGTTGGAGGTAACATTGCCCCTCAATTGACGATAAGAAATTGGTAATCGTGGTACGCAAGCATGTGAGTAGAGCGGGGTGCTTAGTCGTGCATGCATTTGAAGAGGTGTGACTTTATATGTGAATGAATGAATGGAGTCTTGATGTGCAATCAAGGTATCATATTTGAAGATTGAGGTGACAGAACATCATCAGCGTCAGCGTCAACCGTTGATTACATTGTTTGGGTAAAGGAAACTTCCTTCACCGAGGTCTCGACGTGGTAAGATCAGACACATGATGAGAAAGCAATTGTGAAATCGTACATGAGTATGGCTATTATCATGAATTAGATTGGAAATGGAGAGTAATTAAACGTAACCATGTATTGACAGTCATAAGGATATTTGATGATCGTAAAATCACTTAAAGTTGCGATTATACTTCCACAATATACTTTTAGGACTTTGTAGACTTTATAGACTTGATGGACTTCAAATGATAAAGGTTAGATTAGACTTGATAGACTTGGTAGACTTCAAGCGTTAAAGGTTAGATGGATAAAATGCGATATGTATTGAATGTGTATTGATGTTGACGATCATTTTCTTCAGAATTCAATCACTAAGCGTTAGGAAATAGGCTATCGGCCGCTAAAACTTTAGTGTCTACTCACGCACTAAAGCCATTACACACGACACCCCAACTTCTACCTCCCAACAAGATTTTCATTCAGCCTCCTTCACCATCCTCAACAATGCAATATATATCCTCAAGATACACAACATATGTCATTAATACAAAGGTTACAAATCTTATCATGTCACACTTTACCTAACGGAATACTTCCGCTTTCAGTTAATGATTAGACAGCTGGCATATTATCGGATATTTGTATCCTCGTATCATCGCCGTACTCTGTACAAAACGAGAAACCATGCTCCTTCTTTCAATAAACACCCATGAAACAATGGTAGGTTCAGCTGACGATCGGCTTTCCGAAATCGATATGGTGCTACCGATACAATGGTCCAAAGGAATGAAAGCCTGGTAAATCATCCTTCACCAGGGAGCAAACGGTGAGATGCGGGTTATGCAAGTGGTTTTTATGGATTGTCACCCTTGGCTAGTCAAATGCAAGCCCTAGTTACAATCATGGAAATAGTATCCGAATGCAGAAGTGCCAACAAGAAGTTTAAGCGGAGTTGCACAAGTACTGTAACATGCTTTGTTGTGCCTCAGTTGTACATCGGCTAAAGCATCCCGAAGTAGATCACCCTGGAAGTCTGACAGGTACGATTTTATTTCAGAGTTGACTTCCAGGTGGGTATCATTGGAGTCGAGTATACTCCGAAGATTCAGTACGATCCGGGAACACGTCAATGAATTCGGGGACTTGATGAGTCCCTGTCAGTGCAAATCTCCCTTCTTTACTTTAGGCAATTCCCGAAGTGCATCCAGCCGAATTCTAACACTCACTTCCCGATTGGGTATTGTTGAAGTCATACAATGCCATTCGAAATGGCACCGTCGTGACCCACAAGGTGGATCTCATAAGGATGAGCATGTTCATGGCTCAAATTTGGGCTCAACCGCAGAGAAGCCGTTAGAGAAGAGTGGATTGATTTTGACAACACCAATAGGAAATTTTGGTATTTCCTGAAACATCAATTAGAGTTTGAGATATCATCATAATCATTCAAACATGACCTCATTTGTCTCTGAATAGCTTCAACGTTCCACTGTTCTCGAAAGCTTGTGTGCCGTTGAACTCAAATGTCGCCTAATTACGCAATACGGTCGTTAAAAGCGATGCAACATATTGTTTTTGTCAAGATCTCTTGCTATTATATTGCAAATTTTCGTAGAAACTTACATTGAGTTTTTCAATCTTCTAAAAATTCTGACTGTAATTTCGGCTCAAGAACCTCAGCTGCAGATAAGATTTATGCACGTGGGCGTTTTTACATCTAATACGACATTTCCCAATCGACCTATTAAAGATTATTCATTATATTCACATCTCGGGAGTTCTCACTAAACAAGCAGTTTCTCCATAAGCAATGTGATTGATTCTGCACCTGTTGAAGTAACACTGCATCATGCAAGACTAATCTAAGCCCCTGTTTACCCTGTTCGCTAGAAATCTTCAATGCCACAACTTACAAAAGTCACTCGACACTCCACATCTCGTACGACCTCAGATGATATGGTGAATCTATAGAAAAAAATCATTCGTTCCTCATTATCTCGAACCAAGTTTCGGCAGTTCAGTTACGGAGTGACACGATGTGATCGTGCTTACCGGAAGGAGATTCCTGATCATCGAAATGTGAATACACAACGGGCCGATCCTTCACACAGGCTATTGGCTGTTCTTACCTAGGTACCTCTTGTTACATTACATACTCTCTCTGTACGTACTCAGGTACTTCTCCATTAAATTCACTTCCGGTGAACCATGTGAGGTTCCCTGAATT